ATTTGTTGGACCCCTGTTTATCATATGGCGAGATCTCTCGGGCGCTATCCCCCGCAAAGGAGGTTCGGCTCGGAAAAATGCGCGAAAGCCCTCTTCCCTTTTTGGCCATTTGATGTTTTCGCGTCAGAAGTAGTGGGGGGCCCGTCGGCCGCTTCCCGCCAAACATCCACCCCCTCCCTTCTTTCAGCCGTGAAAAATGACTGCGCCGGCCTAACTTTTAACACCCTCCTCATTCAGATCAGAAAGTTGCCTTTTTCCGGGGGTATGGCCCTTATATGGCGGTATTCACCGCTTTTTTTTCTGCCGTGGGCCCTTTAGAACGGGGCGTTTCCCATGCCCCTTCAGGATTCTTTGCAATTTTAAGAAGGTCTGGAGGCCGGGCGGGTGTCGTTGCTCGTCAGCTGAGGGTGCCAGACCCCCCTCTTTACTCCGATTGGATTCGTCGTTTCCACTCAGCCCTCTTCTCTTTTTGCTTTTTTGATCGTTGCCCTCCCTCAGCTGTCCCCGACCCTTCTTTGCTTCGGCAATATATTCTGATCGAAAGAATTAACGGTTCTGGACTGTTGGTGGGGGCGGACCACTTCTCTTTTTCGACCTGTTGAAGACAAATTGTATTTTTATATTGTTTTAGCAGTTTTTGATTGCTGGAAAGTTACAAAATATTTTGAATGGAAATACAAACATGGAAAACTTTGACGGTTTTTGGTCATTTTTCATACAGTTTCACGAAAAACTCAAACATTTTCGAAAGTTTTTATTATTTTTATAAGCTTTTCATATCTAAAAACTATGTAAAATGCTATAAAATGCTTTTTATTTTGTTATAGCGCCGTAGAGAATCACAGGAAAAAAATTTGGTTCCCCCCCCCGCTAACAGTCCAGAACCGAAATAATTATTTCTCGTTGTAAAAAATGGTTGCCACCACAATAGACTCACCAGTGTATCCGGCCACGTTACCTGGAAACGCTGTTTTTGGGAACGGGGCGCCTTCTTGTTGTTTGGGTAGAATCGCGGCCCGATTTACTTCCCCCATCCGCCAGCAATTGTTTTTTGCGACTAATTTAAAACCTTCGCCTCGTCTTTGCATCAATATGTTCTCCTATTGTGTGATGGGCCTTGTTTTGGTCCCATTCTCCCCCATCTTCTCCCATTTCCTTGGTTTCTTCCACCCCTTCCGAATGCATCCCTCATGTCCAGATGCCGCTCTTCCGGGCGAATCCCACAAATCGAATTCCCGTTCCCAGGTGCGAGGCGTAGCGAGAAATTACAGCTTCGGCTTAGGCCTTTTTAAAGTTATTTTTTCGCCACCTAACCCACCAGTACTTTTTGAAAAGATTGCCCGAATAAGAAATGGGTTCTTGCGCATTATCGGGGGCGAACTTTTTTTTGTTAGTCTAGAAATGCCTAGTAACTTAATAGAAAGTACTTTAATAGTGTTTTTGGTAGTATATAACTCTATTTCAAGTAGATTACTATCTAAAAACTTTGAAAAAATGTCAGAAAAATCGAGGTTTTGGTCAAAATCGGCCTTTTTTGGTCGAAAAACGATAGAAACAGAAATAGAAACTCAATAGAAAGTGTTTTTAGTAATGTATAACCATATTCCAACTACAAAACTATCTAAAAACTTTAAAAATGTCGAAATTTTGGTTACAAATCGGCAATTTTCGGTCGGTAACTATATTTTTGATATTTTAATACAAATTTATGAAGTTTTCACGTTTAGAAATAGCAAAAAACCATTTAGAAGCACTATTTATATTTGAAAAATTAGACCATAGGAAAAAATTTGCCCCCCCCCGATAATGCGAAAGTACCAAGAAATATTCTGTGATTGCGCGAAGCTGGGAATAGTGAGGGGCAAGAGGACATGGACTGCGTATTGTTAAATAGAATGGGAGGAATGGGGGGAGGGGGGATGTTTGGAGGGCTAGTGGTCAGCTGTCGAGGGCCCAAATGGTGCCACAGAGACATTGGCACCCCCTGGTGCCGGCAAGATTAGAGATCAATGAATGGGGGAGAGGGGCAGAGAAAAAGAGCGAGCATGCAGACAGAAGCTCTTCCTCCACACAACCGCTACCGCTTTTCCTTGCATAATCTGATTTTATAGTTTTTTTATAGCTGGTTTAGGTTATGAAATGTCCGACATACTGACCGGCAGCCTTAAACTACCCATATCTATATTTAAACTAGAAAAACTATCTTAAAAACGTTTTGAAATCTCGAAAACAGTGAAAATCCCTATCGAAAAATCGATATTTTTGATATTTTTTAGTAAAAACTTGTTAGGTTTTAAGAAAGTTAAAGAATAGAATGAAGAATGGTAAGAAAAAGTTGTCCCCCCCCGGCAATGGGAAAGAACCGATTTTCTTCCCGGTTCCACGGTACTGCAAAATGTCGGTGATTGCCGGTTGTACCCGGTTACTTTTCTCCCTGGTGAATTTGGGCTCACGTAATACGGGGCTCGTGCTCCCTTTATGCTTGGGCCGAATTCCATTGAAATATGAGCCGCTAGTATGAAGGCGAGGTCCACCTGCGAAAGCTCGCTCTCCACCCAAATCTTGAATTCACATCCATAATACCACACCGTTATTTTGACCCTTACTTCTCAGTTGATAGTTTTCTTACTGCTCTATTTTCTTTTCTTACAAAATTCCTAATTTTAACAAAGTTTTCATAACTGAAATTTTTTTTACTGAAGTAACTTATTTTATAAAGAAGTTTTTCTGAATAGGATGCACCAGCTGCTTTTTCTAAAACCTATTCCAAAGCTTTCCATGTCCATTAAAGCAGGCTGATTTGTGGCTATTTCTGCGTTTAATCGCTGATAACTTTCGAGAATGGGCTGTTCCTCAAAAACGGTAACCATATTCGGAAACAGCGGAAAATTCCGCACAAAATGGGCTGGGTCCCATCCCGAAGTCCGGACGACACTCAAGAACGTCCGCTTGTTAGTTCACATTTCCAAAGTCCTATCCTACTTTCTTTATCCGTTTAGCCTGATGATTGCTGGCACCGCCTCCCTTCTCGAATTTGCAACTGATATAGGGAGATATATCATATCACATTCGTTGACCCAGATTATCAGCCCCAGAATTGAGAATGGGGTAAGAGGCACCTACACATGATAAATGGCTCCTCTGGAAATCAACATATGTTTCGCACAGTGTTCCAATTCCGTCAGCGCACACCCGAAATTAGCAGCAATAAGACCCTATGCAACGCGGCACGCCTATCGACTCAAAAATGTGTCGAGGTGTAAACTTCTAAGCCTTATAACTTTAAAACTAAAGCAAATCTTGAAAAAAGCTTGTTCCAACTGTATAGAATGAAACACGGCGATTCTCTTGATACCAAACACTAAGAAAACTTAATGCAGAAAGTATCAAAACCAGGGCGGTTTTTGTTGGCGACTTTGTGGAAAATGGTATTCTGCCGGCTAACTTACTGTCTTTGGTACCATTCGAACCGTAAAATCCTACTCTGCAATAATTGATCACGAGTTTTTAATATTAAATCGGTTTGAAAAAGTCATAAGAGCTTAAACTTTTTGACTCGCGCTACGCCCGGCTCCTGTGGACGCTTTCGCCTCTCCCGCTAAATTGCCGTTTTCGCCTGTTTGGTTGGCCGCGAACAGCGGATGCTCTTATGATCATGGTTACTCACAAATTTAACGAGTAAAATCGGGCGTCACCCGACACGCGTCGTGCGTACGCGTTAGATGTATTGTCACGTAGCCGTCAGTCATCTCGAAAAGGCTCCCCCTGCCAGAATGACGGGCATTTTGATGGGCCGCTCCATTTACCCAACCAGGGCCTCTTCTCTTTTTTCCCTAAGACACCTTTACACGCTGGGCCAACAAATCCCTGCAATAATCCGTATGTAAATCATCCTGCCAAAGCCCCCGACCTTTTCCGACTAAAACCCACATTTTTTATGCACTTACCTTCACGTTTCGTTTTTGTTTTCTGCATTTTTCGAAGGTAAAATACCCTAAAATCCTGAGTATAGTTGCGGTACAATTTGACGACGTACCGATACAAATCGCGTTCTAGTAACGTGCGTCCCGTACGCTCGCCGCAAAAGCTATCTAGGCCAAAAGAAGCGGTTTTCAGGATTTACTTCATCAATTTCTTTCATTAAACCACTCAAAATTCTGGAAATAGTCGAAATGTGAACAAATATTCAATCGGAATTGCAAAAATACCTTTCTTGCACCGTTATTTGCAAGAAACCGAAAAACGAAACACACCTATTTACGGTCATACGGAATTTCGGAAGCTACGTACGCAGCACCCGGAACTGTACTCAGGATTTTCGCGTGATTCGAAAATTTTTCGTCACTAATTTCGACTGTATTCATGCGGCGCATAGATAGGATTGGGGCGCACTTTCCCCTTCGTGCAGCCGGCTTCCCTTTATGTGGTTGTTGTGAGGGATGGAAGGATATGCCCTCTTCTACCATCTCCCCCTCCTCCTCCTCCTCCCCAAACGGTCCGTCCGTCGTTCACGGGAGAATGATCTTATCTACCACCCGGATATCCCGAATGAATGCCGAACGGGCCGACGGATGCGCATTCCCACCAGCTATACGATCTTCAGCTCAATTTTTGACGGATTCTCTAGGAATACTCTTTAATGCTAACCTAAAATGCCGAGTATAGTTCGTGGCGAAACGTACGTAAGGTTCGTAATTCCGTAAATTGGTGTGTTTCGTTTTTCGGTTTCTTGCAAATAACTCCGTTAATTAAAGGTATTTTTGCAATTTTGATTGAAGATTTGCTCACATGTCGACTATTTCCCGAATTTTGAGTGGTTTAATAAGGAAATTAATGCAGGACATGTATTGGTACGTCGCAAGTGTACCGGAACTATACTCGAGATTTTAGGGTAATCTATATTCTTCGAGCGCAGTACTACAAACTTTAAACTTTACATCTGAATTCTTTTCTCTTGCTTTCACAAATACTTTCCTCTTGATCAAATTATAATTCTCAGGATGGCGACAGCCTCCGAGCTGTTCTCAGAAGACGCTCGGACGCGGTTCACCCATACAAAAGCCCTCTTCGAACAACTCGAACGTCAGCAACACGAGGTCAGCAATATTCATTACTGTTTCATCAATCAACGCATTGTCAAAAAAAGCTTCGAATTCTCATCCTAAATATTTTTTGCCTTCTAGACGCCGTCCTTCTACTCGCCTCGGCCAGTCCGACAACCCCCTCCCCTTCCTCCAAAACCACATCATTCCTATCAACCGCCGATATGCCCGGGAAGTCCACTGTCGCAGGTTGGTTTTCTGAATCCATCTGATGAGAAATATTGCCCCCCGGCTGGCGACTAAATTTTTGGCCCCCGCCCAATCGCGCCAATTAGCGTCTGGCAACCGCTCTATACCCTTTCACCCCCTTGCAATCTTGGCTCTTCCGCTCTCCCAAATACATTTGCCCAAATTTCTCCCTTCCGAATGTCTTTAGTTAGTTTCTGAGGTGTGCTTTTTCCAGTTTACCCTAAAATCCCGAGTATAGTTCCGGTACACTTTCGCGACGTACCAATACAAATGACGCACTAATACCGTGCGTCCCGTTCCTCTCGCCGCAATAGCTATGTAAGCCAAAAGAAGCGGTTTTTAGGAGTTCCTACCTCAATTTGTTTCGTTAAACCACTTAACCACTCTGGAAAAAGTCAAAAAGTGAGCAAATGTTCAATCGAAATTGCAAAAAATTCATGAACCGAGTTATTTGTAAGGACCCGAAAAAACGAAACACACCTGTTTACGGCCATACGGAATTAGGAACGCTACGTACGTTTCACCCGGAACTACCCGGGATTTTAGGTTAATCACTTCTCTATAGGTGGCCATTATCTGGGGTGGGCCGGCGGCAGCGATTTGTAGCCTTTCGCGAGGAATAGACCCCCCTAGCCGCAAGCCCGAATCGAGTTATATAGCCGCAGGGGGCGCCCCATTTGCCTCTCTCTCTTTCTCTCTCTCTCTCTCTCACTCTCTCTCGCGCTCTCTCTCTCTCTCTCTCGCAACAACGAAAATTCATTCCTGCCCGAATCGCGCTGTAGCATTTTGTAGTATTAGTGATCTCAGGATAAATTGGCACCCGTTTGTGCCAAAAATTCTTTTTGAAAATGACGTGCAACCGAGCCTCTCTCTAGTGTCCAGTACCCCCACTTTTCAACATGAGAGGCCGGCCGTAAAGGGGGCCCTTTCGATGGCCCATTTAGTATTACATCGCACACCCAGTGCCCCCCCTCTAAAAGAACAAAAAGACGAGCTAGCCTGCGAGCTATCCGAACTCCTTCTTTTCTTTTCTCTTCTTGCCCCCGGCAAGTCCAAAATATTTGTCTGAATTTCGCGGGGTCGAAATTTTCCGAAAAAAGTACGGCTTCTTCAATTGGCCCCGCCCTCGTCTATGAAGTCTACGCTATATGAGAAAAACATTTCGCCCTGCGTGCCGAAACGCCATCCACCGGCCCTTATTTTGGATGCAAATCCGAGAGTTGGCCAGAAATGCGGAATTCATAATATTTCCAGCCCCCCCACCCACCTTTTATCGAAAAAGGTGTCCTCATGGTTTTAGTTAGGCATATTTCGACGCCAAATTCACGGCAACCAGCAGGGCAAAAGGTCTCTCTCGCTCTCTCTCTCTCTCTCTCTCTCTCTCTCTCTATCTCTCTCTCTTTCTTTCTTTCTCTCTAGCTCTTTCGCTAGCTTACTCTCTATCCTTCTCTCCCTCCCTCTCTCTCACTCTCGCGCTCGCTCACTCTCTCGCGCTCTTTCTCTCTCTCCCACGTGCTCCTCCAGTCAGCCTTTTAGCATCAAGTGGATTTTCATTAAAATTAATGATATCGAGTACCGTCCTTACACGGTTGGCAGATTTGAAAAACGGCATCTCGCTCCGAATTTTTTACTCTCTCGAACTAACCAGGTCTAGTTCAAAAACACCAATGTCACCTAAAACCACTCCTTGTAAGTCCGACTAAATAATATTTTCAGGTAGCGCGGAACTTCAGCGAACTGGCCACCGACCTCGATCGTATTTCAACGGGCGTGGGCCCCCGTCCAACAATTGTCCCATCACCTCCAAAAGATGGACCCAGGTATGTCCAGTATGCATTACCATTGCATGCCATTTGTGCTTGCCTATTGTGGTGCTCGCTTCCAAAGTTGCTTTCATGCTATATCCTTAAGTTACGTAAGCTTTCGTTGTCAGCTTTTCGTCGTCTCGCCATCACATGGGGGACCAATTTTTGCCTGCCGGCCCCGGTTGGCCAAGCAATCAAATATAAAGTGTTTTACATTGTTTTTAGAAAGTTTTAACACTATTTAAAGTAGGAAAACTTTTAAAAAGTTAGAGATTTGTTGGAACAAGGCGTAAATTGGCGATTTTGGCCTGAAAAAATCAATTTTTCTACCATAAATTAAATATCTAATTAAAAATTTGCAAAGTTTTTATGCTTATGAATAGTTAAAAACAATGTAGAAGGGCAGCCGCGCCGCTGATTACGCTTACGAAAACAATTTACGCTTACGCCGAAAAAGTTAACTATAACCAGAGAAGTTTCTGCCCAAATCCGTGTGAGAAAAACCAATTGATTCCCAGCCATGATTAAACAGTGGATACCCATTAGCGCCTGCCCCCTGGAATTATGTGGAACCTGATTAAATTCTGACATTCCCCCCAGAAAAAGCCCCGCCTCAACCCCGGATCCATTGTGCGAGAATACGAATGGATTAGGGTCTTCCCTTCTGCCTAGAAACAGAACAAATCCCTCCTGGATTACCAAAGCCGCCACCACCCCGCTTACTCATTCCAATATTTCGAGAGATGGCATTGGGCCCCCCGAAATGGGGGTCCCATATGGCCCGGGATTAGGCAGGCGATGCTCCAGATATTTCCTCCGCCCCCATCTTAGCCAGATTCTATCTATCCACTCCGAGGTTTGGCGTCGTTAAGAGATTCTTGCTCCATTTCAATTCCTTGAAACCCCTGGCAAACAAATATTGGCTAACGTTTAGTTTAAATTTCTTCTAATCGCGTGTAATGGTGCTACTCGGGTGGAGCCGGTAAGTTCTAGGATGCAAAAAGCAAAATAAGATATCGAATTAAGTGTAACAAAGACTAAATTATGTTTATAAATCTCGGATGCGTTTTTACACTCTTTTTAACTATTTCTATGCATAGAAACGTTAGCATTTTCATTAAACTTTTGATTAAAGAAATTCAATTTTCTAATATTTGTCCAATTTTTTGAAAGTTTTTCTACTTTAAATATAGTTAAACAAAAAAATAAAACCATAACAACATAGAAACCCACCCCAAAAAAAAAAAAAAAAAGTTAAAATACCTTACTACAAACAATGTTAAACACTTTATATTCGATTACTAGACCAACCGGGACCGCCGGGAAAAATGGTCTTCCCGCGAATCCTAAATAATCTCGCGCTGTTGCCTGGATCTGTTGGGGTGGGGGGAGATGGCGTACTGATGTTAGTTTGGTGAAGAGATGTCTATTCCCGGGGGACATCATGCTCAGCTCAGCTCAGCGAGCACAAGCCGCAATGCAAACCTCGTGCAATTCTGACTTTACGCCGCCTTTCCCTAACTCCAAAATACTACCATCAAACTAGCAACTCAACTAAATATTCCGGACAATGGTCAAAACGTTGTGTCTCGCGAAGGTCATCGCTCGAAGGTTCATTTTCGCATCACATTTGAGAGTTAGCGATGATCCACACGAAGCTTAATCTTACGCGACAGAGATAAGCAGGCAAAACGCTTCGCGGGTATCTTAAAAGTCTAACTGATAGAATAGTGCATGCATTCAACATTGTGTTCCCCTCTATAGATTCGTCCGCACCAACAACGCAGCTCCGGAAAAGCCTCCCGTCGATAACTTTGAGCCATATTGGCGGGATTCGGCCTTCTATCATCGCCGGTATTGTCGCTTGTGCATGGCTGATTTATTTGCAAAACATGGCCATTGGGATGGCTTTTGAAATAGGATTTGATGTTAATGACTATGTTTCAGCTTCGAAGACGATGTGCATATGGAGGAACGGGCAAATGGTTTTGCGAGCACAATGCTGGTAAGTGTTCGTATCTGGATTCCACGGGCAGCTACAACGGACTTCATCTAGCGCTTATTTATGGAACACTTTACATAGAATTTTCAATTTATCTTCGAAATATCCGAAAATCCCAGTAAGTTCCGGGTGAAACGTACGTAGCCTCCGTAATTACGTAAGACCGTAAATAGGTGTTTTTCGTTTTTCGGTCTCTTGCAAACAACTCTGATCAAGAAAGGTATTTTTGCAAATTTTTACTGTAGGTTTGCGCGCATTTGGACTATTTCCAACATTTTGGATGGTTTAACAAAAAAAAATGATGCCAGAAATCCTAAGAACCGCACCTTTTGGTTTACATAGCTTTTGCCGCGAGGGCCGGACCTTATTAGAGCGTCATTTGTACGTCGTCAACGGAAATACACTCGGGATTTTAGGGTACTTTCTAACTTGAAACGCGCGTTCTAATTAGGAGCATAGTATGCAACTCGTTTACTTTCGTTCCGGTATTTTCTGGAATTCTGACACTAAAACCCTTCCTTTTTATCAACTTTGTTTCAGGGCAGCCTGCCACCCAACGACGCCACAATGATTGACCAAATCAGGGGGCTATCTCCCGAACGAGAGGGGCGCGATCGAAAAGTCTCCTTTTCTACGGCTCCTATTCCGGTAAGATTTTGATGGTAGCACGGGTTTCTTCAAAAACATGTAAGCCTCGAATGGTATATTTTCTAGTGCATCTGCCGTCATAATCGCACTTTTGCTTGCGCTCTTTGTTCAACGGTTTTTTCAGGTCTACCGGACGCACACTTCTGACGAATATGATCGACGAAACGACGAGATTGACCCGGTTGCTTCGTGCGCTGAATATGAATTGGAACGACGCCTTGAGCGGATGAGCCTTTTCGACGTGGAACTCGATAAGGGCCAAGAAGGGCTTGGCGTCTCGATTATAGGTATGCAGTGGATGGTTCTTTCGCATTTCTGTGGGGGAGCAACTTTTGCTCAAATTAGCATAGATTTTTCACATATAAATAATGCAAGCGTTTTTGAATTGTTTTTTACTGTTGCTAAATGCGAAAAATTTACGAATTTGTGTTAAAAATATCTAAAGATCGATTTTTCGACCGAAAATGGCCGATTTTCTACCAAAATTTCTACTTTTTATGATTTTTTAGTTGAAATAACGTTTTAGATTACTAAAAACACGATGAAAACACTTTTTATGAAGTTGCTAGGCATTTCTAGACTTATACAAAAAAGCTCGGCCCCCCTGAAAATGCGAAAGCACCCAGTGGACCTCTACTTACCACATGCTTTTTAAGGAATGGGTGTCGGTGCTGATTCCGGTTTGGAGAAGCTTGGCATCTTTGTGAAGAGTATCACTCCCGGGGGAGCCGTTCATCGAGATGGCAGGATTCGCGTCTGTGACCAGGTGAAGGATAACTCGCAAACGCAACCTTGCCGCTCGTTCAGATTGTCTCAGTTGATGGAAAATCGCTTGTTGGTGTTAGTCAACTCTTCGCTGCCGAAACACTCAGAGCCACCACAAATCGCGTGCGCTTCACGATCGGTTTGTTTTTTATTAGTGTCTACATTCTTTTGCTAGGTCGTGAACCAAATCTCGACGAATCAGAAGTGGCACAGCTGATACGACAGTCACTCGAGGTGAATTTTCTGTTTTGATCCTAGTTATTTGTTAGTCGGATCGAACGAGAGCGGCACTCCCGGATGTGGATGACGAGCTGAGCCAAGTTGAAGAGGAAACAGACGTGCTCTGCAATGACTTCCCGGCGCCCAATACGTATCAAAATGGATATCCCAATCGCGATCAAGAGACCGAAATTCGGGTGGGTTTTGTTTATCAAGTTGGTTGCCGTTCACTAGAAACTTTGGTAACAAGGTTTCTTTAAGAATCGCGGGCAGGAAACCAACGTTTTTTGGCGCAACCTAAATTTTTTATAAACCGCGGATGCATTTCTACATTGTTTTTAATTATTCCGAAGCCTAAAAACGTTACAATTTTTTAATTCAAAATTTAATTTTGGGACGAAAAATTGATTTTTTTTAGCCAAAATGGCTATCTTTCGACTTTTTGCAAAAGCTTTTCTAACTTTTTTCGACAGTTTTCCTACTTTAAATATACTTAAAACAGACTAACGCAATGTACAAACACTTTATATTTGTTTGCTAGGCCAACCAGGGGCCGCCAGGAAAAAAAATTGGTTCCCCAGCGAATCCTAAAGGACCGTAACGAGCAATAATCACGAATTAAACGAGTTTTTGCAAATGGTCGATACGTATCTGAGGTTTTTCAGTCGAAAATCCATGTCTTGGAGCTGGAGCTGGAGATGTCACAGAAGAAGGCATTCCAAATGAACAATGTCCTCGATTCGACCAAGACCCATTTCGAACAACTTGAGAGGAAATACGACCAGGCCAATCAGCTGCTCAGGAATTATCAAGAAAGGTGTTTCCATTCCCCTCCCCTTCAATGCAAGTTTTTGGATTTAGGGAGAAAGAGCTGCTGTGTCGAGAGGAATCGCACGTTTCGCAGCTTCGCGAGAAGGATGCACATTATGCCAGTCTCGTCCAACAGCTGAAGGTAACACTCACTGCTTTGGTCTCTAAAATGAAGCTAATACAGGAACGCATCGACGAACTGGAAGGACGATTAGAAGAGGTGGTGGATCAACGGCTGTCGACCCAGAACGAAAACCATCCGGACGAATCATCGGCCTATCGACCCAATGGAGATTCAACGAATCATGAAGATAAAGCCGTAATGGCCCGAATACCCAGCCAATCAAAGGTATTTTTCTGCCTTCCTAGCTGAAAAGTTTGGAAATGGTTTTTGGCAGAATTTTCGGTTCTGGAATGTTAGCAAGGGGGAACCAAATTTTTCCATGTGATTCTCTACGGCCCTATAACGAAATATAAACCATTTTTACAGCATTTTACATATTTTTAGAAAAATTTTCGAATATTTCGACTTGTTGGCCAAAAAACGTCAATTATCGTACTTTCAAACTGTTTAAAAATAGTTTTTATAACTTTCTAGCAATCAAAAACCACTAAAAACACAATAAAAATACCTTTTATATTATCAACAGGCAGGTATAGGTGGAAAAACAAAAACTGTTCCCCCTGCCATCCCCTCCTCCCCCCCGCTAACAGTACAGAACCGAATTTTCTCCACCGACCAGATGCAATAACATCGACGTTTTATGCAAAGTTATGCCTTTTCTTCCAGTTGATATCGAAGAGAGATGCCGAGGTGTGCACCGGATGGGATGATGATAAAGTGTCCTCATCATGCGACAGTCCCGTTCCACGTATTTCGGAACCGGCCAGCCCTGCGATGCCGCACAAATTCATCCACCGAAAGCTCCTTTTCCCATTGAAAAAACGCTACATCCTGAATGAGAGCGAGTTTTGGAGAACACCCTACGAGCAGATGCAGGTCATCACTTATCCCCTTTCTTTTAACAACGTTCTTTAGGGTCTGCAAGTGTTACAATGGTCTGTCGATGATATTTGCCAGCTACTGGTGTCGATGGGCCTCGACAAGTACGTGCCAGAGTTCACGATGCACAAGGTCAACGGCCCGAAATTCCTGGAATTGGACGGGGCCAAGCTCAAGGTAAGGTTCTAAGCTTGATATCGGAGATGGCGGCTTCAGGGAATGGGCATACAAAACCACTCGGATCGATCGTTGATCAAGAAGAGGGTGAAGACGATCAAGAGTCGAATCGAACGCGAACGGAAGCTGCTGGAGAAGGAGAGCCGGATGCGAACGTTGATGCCACATCCCGCAGTACCCGTCTAATCGCTAAGGTTAATTTATATTTTTTCAAAATTGTCCAGCCTTGTAATATTGACCGGTTATTGGCTGCCCAGCGGACTGTAAAAAGCCAAAAGAACCAACTTCCTACCAAGCCCCCTCAAATGTGATATTACATTTAATGTCCGCCGTTAATGATTAATTGATAATTTATGCTCTCTCTGCTGACTTCTCCTAGTTTTCACCCATAGAGTTGATTTCTTAAAAACCTAATCCACCATTCCTGGCATAATTTCGCTAGCATATCCCAAGCCATTTACTCAAAATGTGATCACGTGCCAAACAGAGAACTAAGAAGTACTCAATCCCCTCTACTAACTGTTCGGCAGCGCCATATTTTCATTTCTCGTTGATAATAAAATTCTTTCGTGAGATGATTGGTTTTATGTTTTTATAACACATAAAACATCACGACAATTGCAGATTGTAGCAGAAATTCAAAAGTAATAGCTAAAACAAAAATGCTAACAAATCTCTTTAGTAGGTGCTTCTAGTGGGATCGATCCAATCGAATATTTGTCTTGAAGGAAGGCGTTTCTGGCTTCATCAGATAGCACTTTCGAGTAGAGGAACTCGTTGTATTCGCTAAACAGGAAATAAACTGCAGGCGAAAATCACCACCTTTTCTGAGCGTCTAGTTCAGCTTCGCAGGTTTTTGTTGAAGATCCAATTGAAGTACTTCGCGGCGAACTATATGAGCTTGTGTACAAACGACCAAACTAGCTTACACTTCGGGTCGGCTGCGCAACGATTCGGTGCCGGAAGGCGTTTTTGATGGAGTTGCGACGAATTTGTACTTGGGACTAAAGGATGAATGAAGTATGAGGAACAGTTGGAACACCTACTCGAACAACGATTCCATGAGAGACTTGGGTTTGTAAGAAGCGCTGTATGGATCCTGCCGGGGTGTTTGTGGCGAAGACGACGCTAAAAAAGAAAACAACTCTTGTGTAAATCGGACGGCAACCTTCCCACCTGAATAATAGCTGGAATTTGGCGAATAAGGGTTCTTTGTGGATCCGGATACGTTGGAATAATCAGAATAGTTGTAGGGCCGGTGATGACTAAATCCAACGTTTATACCGACTCAAAAAAAACCTCTGAACTGGAGCATTGGAGTGCACAAATCGGCAGTCGTCCCCATTCCGGCACGAGTCCGCCTTGCCCGGAATGTAATACATGCAGGGCTTCATCCTACCTCAATGGATAGAAACCATTTGTTACTGCCAACGAAAATACACGCATCACGACCACAACACACCATAAACGAACAGCCGGACATCAATTGAAAATAATTTTATTTCAACAATCTCAAAAAACGGATAGATAAGCTCCAAAGATCATTGTGAATTAAGAACAAAACGAGGCTACTTATTCTGTGATTTAGAAAACGCACCCAGTAGTAGCTCCATAAGGATATGACTGTTAAAAGGTTGATCCAGAGAGGCAAATGTGCAGCAACAATTACATAAGAAAATAGTCTTCAGCCCTGACATAGAGAGGAGATTTGCTGATCAGAAACTATCGTCTCAATCACACGCTCGAGGATTTGCAAGCCACTAGAATACGAATTGAGAGTCCACGTCTCCACCAATGAATTTACAAAAAAAAATAATGAAACTAGGGCTAAGAAATGCACAGTGAAAATTATTTTAATGGCATGAGTCGGCAGCCAATTCGTCCGCAGCTGACTGTGTCGGATCCACGATTGCGAATATCCAATGGCCGACACCTGAAAAGGAGAAATTAGACTTTTAGAAATGCTACTGAAAAGACGAAGTTCTGACTATAAAGGTTACCTCCGCCAAGCACCACAGCAGCCGTCAGATAGTAGTTATACGTCATCGCGATCAACATCAGCCAATAAGCCAGCACTAACTAAAAAGAACTTTGGTGGCCAAGAATCTGTATGTACCTGTATCACGTACAGGCCGGGCAACAGGAACTGCAGTGCACTGCGGCGGTTTACTGGTGTGACAGACCTGAAAATAGAGGCTACTTAAATTGGTAACAAGGAGTGGTTTTTAAGTGATCGGGGAATTTTGCAATGTAATATATTCGATAGAGCTTCAAATCCTCTCAAATAAATTCAAATACCATCTTTCTTTCATCTTTCAAAAACCGCTGAACGATAACGGTCTCCGAGAATCCGTTTCTCGAAGTTCGAATGGTGCTCGCATGCGCAACAGCCGCCTTTCAGAACCAATTTTCTCGTAAACCGTATTCGCTCAGCAATTTTTGAAAGATGGGGCTTGTTCAGAATTTGAAGCTCTATCGAATCAGCTATGTCACCTAGCAAACCTCCAAGATCACCTGATACCCACATCGTTTATGCAAAGCGACAAACCTTGTAAGCCTCGTCTGAAGGTGAACACGGCTCCATTTCAAAGCTTCATAGGCGATGCCCATGATGAAGATGGCCAAACAGGACAGCAGGAGTCCCAATGGCGTCGAGATGCGCCAAAACTCGAAAAGGATCACCTAAGATAGTTTTTTGGCAGTATGTCGGTACCATCTTACCTCTTCGTAACCACCGTGAAACCACATTTTCATCATGTGATGCTCGGCGCCATGATGATCCGAGTGTCCTAGAAATGAGATCGATATAGAGCAAAACGTTGGGGCTAATTCAGTTGGGGGGCGGGGGGGGGGGGGCCGAATTTGGTAGTAGGGGGTTACAACGCTCTTCTTAAGCTGCTTGGTTTTCAGCTTAAGCATAGGCTTAACTTAGCCTTAACTATATAGCCTAGGCGTAAGCTTAAGCCCAAGATAAGCTTATCTTAAGCTTTAAATTGCCATACGAGGTCATGCTGGGATCATTTAGGGCTTCGTTTGTATGAAGCTAAGCTTAGGCTCAGGATAGCTCAGCTTTTCCAGAGCCTTCTAGTTTCAAAAAAGGCATTTGGAGCGTCTTTTAGTCAAAATCCAGACTGCATTAGCACCAAAACGTTACCCGAATGTGCATGATGTTCATGGGCGGCTTCCACGGCTTGAAGTGGCTTGCCGTCAAGTTCCGTTAAGAAATCGTCCACGTTCTGTCGCAAAACGCTTGAAGCGAGATCACTATTATTCTAAACGAGATCTTTACGGTGCCGCACTTTCCCTTACCGGTACCCCCATCTGCTAGCTGCCTCGGCCGGTTCCGCAGCAAAGGGCGACCCAGGCAATAAGCTCTAAACAGCAAAATAAACGCGCTGCAGAGGAGCAAAGATAAGCAATGACACACAGATACTTCCTGCCTGTTATTTAAGGCAACCCCAAAGAAAAACATTGGCTGAATCATCGAATCTCATCAATTTATCATAACTGATAATGACAAAGCAACAAATAAAACGTAACAAAGAATGTCAACAACAACAACAACAACTAACAATTAACAATGGAGATGCAATAACAAAACTAACATAAAAAATGACTAATACTGGAATGTGTCGAAATGTCGACGCGCCAATAACCAAAATGAATATGAAAAGTCAATCCCGGCACTAAATTCACATCGTGGCAAATGGCGATAAACGCTGGGAACCCCGACAGCGATATTTCATTGCTTATTGATTGTGCTGGACGCACATCTCGAACCATTGACGAATTGACTCCGAGAGCACCGACGGAAGTTGTGCGACGGATCTAAAAATCAGGAATTCAAAATTAAATTATATTTCTAATAATCAAATTAAGCCGAAATTAATTAAACAAAAAATTAAATTAATGACTAGTAATTCATTTAAAACCAAAATTAATTAAACATAAATAATTACTTGATGACTGCGTAGAATGGGAACGGGAACAGCGATAGATATGGAGTCAATTGAACCTGCAACTACAACATTTTAAATTACCAATTAAAGTGATACCTTATTGTTGGCAAACGAAGCGACGGTCATCTCTTCGATGCTCTTCTTCGCCGTATCCAAAACGACAAACAGCACCGTGACACCGGCGAAACGGCGGAGCGCCTCTTTCACCTACAAGGAAAGGATTCCTCGAGACTCGACAAAAACCTTCAAAAGAAGAGAAATAACTTTTTCGGCAGAATCCTCACTTTTTTTTATAAATAGCGGATGCGTTTCTACATTGTTTTTAACTATTCCTAAGCATACAAACTTTACAAGTTTTAATTAAAATGTAATTTTAGGTCGAAAATTGATTTTTTTCGACCCGAAATGACCAAATCTTCGACTTTTTTTCGTACATTTTTCTAACTTTTTTCGAAGTTTTCTACTTTTAATATAGTCACGACTTGCTAAAAACAATGTAAAAACCATTTGTATTTTATTACTAGGCCGAAAGGGACCGCCAAGGAAAAAATTCTAAAGAATCTCTCGCTGTTGCCTTGATCCTAAAGAACGAAAAGAAACCTTTTCGGCTCCCTGATGAAGAGCGCCGCGTCCATCGGAAATGATGATCAACAGCTGCTCACTGTTAGATGTGCGGGCCACGTCAAGGCTGTTCGCCGTCCACCGAAGCATTTCTAGAGAACTATAATCAACCGAAAAAAGGCCGAACCAGTTAGATCGGTCTTCTTCTGATCAAAATGGAGGGCAGAGAGCAACGCGTAGCCTGGTTGTTGAGAGTCCGTCCAGTTACGCAGCTCACGGACCGTTTCACCAAACGAGACCACCTAAAACAAATTAAAAATACAATTAAATTGAATTTTTCGAATTAATTAAATTTAAAACTAAATTATTAAATTATTGAAATAATTAAAATACCTGAACATGGCCGGCATCCACTTTTCTGAGCGCTTCATCGACGACACACACACTTTCACAGGTGACGCGTCCCATCCCGAATTCGTCCATCGAGCCCGAATCATCGACGGCAATCAGCACTTGGTATTCGCGCTGAGATCGCTTGGTCCTTCTCATCCAGATACGATCCTTTCGATAGTCCGATGCAATATACGGAATTAGACGGCGCATGTTCAGCCGCTTCCCGGAACGGTAATCACCCCTAAACAGCGTGTTTTCAGGGAAAGAATCGAAAGATCTCACTGAAGTTTTGTGGCGCGCTGCGGCTCGAGGATAAGCCGCAGGTTTTCTGCCAATTCGGCGGACAGCACCTCCACCGAGCGAGAAATATCCGTCCACAGCGCACTAACGTCCGAATGGGACCTGAAAAATGGCAAAACTCCTCGTGAATGCGGAGGAAATTAAAAGATTACGATGTGCTAATGCAGTAGAGGGCTGTCCGAAATTTTAGCTTGGTTTTTTAGCCTACGATTAGGCTTAACCTAGCTTTAGCTAAGCTTAGCTCATCTTGGCTTGAAATTGCCATACGAGGTCAAAATTGGTTCATTTACGGTTTAGCTTGGCGCAAGTTAAGCTCAGGCTTCATTTTTATGAAGCAAAACCTAGGCTTATGCTTAGCTTTGCTTTTGCAGCAGCTTAGAGTTGAAAAAACGGATATTGGAGCATCTCGTGGTCAACATCCGGACTGCCCCCCCCCCCCCCCCCGCAAGTGCATTAGCACCGATTAAGAAATTTTCAAGAATTACCGATCATCAGATGGTTGACTTTCGTCATTGTCAGTTGAACCCTCAGCAGCCCGGCCAAGAACCATCTGTTTCGTGATATCTTCCGCCAGCGCATAAAGATCGTCGGGCGCCAGATGCACGGTGGCTGGTAGTTCGGCCAGAAGTCCACCCTCGTCCCCAATATCCTAAAACCAAGTAAGTTGAGTTCAATAACCTAGGAATTTACCTCGGTGTCCGGGTGATCGATGCCCAACAGTGGGTGCTTCCGCTTTGCTTTCGGCAGGTCAGCAGCATCCTTCTTGCTTTGTCGAGCCTCCTCCGTCGTTCCATGTCCAAGCATCTAAAGCTTTTCATAAAAATCCAACCACAACGAGTCAAACCTGTTTGTTACAATCCTGCTCAGACTTTTCGGCCAGCTCTCCCTTCTCATCCTGCTCTCCTGCCATCTCCTCGGTTTCCATCATCACCACCTCGTCATCGGTGGCCAGCTCGCGCAGGATTTGGTCGGCTTGTTGTGCCGACTCCTCTTCTCCCTCTTTCTCCTCATCCTCATGGCCTGCATCTTCCTGCTCATCATTTGCGCCTGTGCCGACGTCGCCCACTCTATCTCGCTTGCTAAAAACTGGAATGAAAAATGCGTTGAAATTTTACGTGTGGCCCTCTCCCTCATCCTGTTCCATATTCTGTTCCTCTTGTTCACTGTTACGTCCGCCAGCGTCCTGCAAAAAAATTGATAAAATTAAAAAATTATTATTATTAAAATTCTATATTTAAAACAATTATTAAAACATTTAAATCTCAATTATTAAAAAATTAGGTTAAAAATAACCGTTTGCTCCAGATCCTCAGCTTTCTCGCCACCATGCCCTTGCGCGTCAGCTGGCTTCTTCTCCGGCTCAGATGCGTCGGGTTCTTGGTTCTCATCCTGTCCAGTCGTCTCATCCATGTCCTGGAGAAAAAAACACAACAATTACAGTACTTCCCGAATGGATACCTCCTCCGGTTCCCCATTTTCTTCTTGCTCCGCGGCATCACTTGGGGAATCCGTATCGTGAGTCTCGTCCTCCTCGGCGTCCTCATCGACATCATCATTCTCATCAACCTTTCCATCAGGTAGCTCTTGCCCTTCTTCATTATCGGCATCGTCATCTTCTGCCTCGTTTTGCTGGGTCTAAACGAAGAGTTGAGGGGCTCAGTGACTGCAAGCTGACCTGAGCGTCTTCCGGGGCATCGTTTTCGTCATTCTGCTGGTCAGCATCTCTCTCATCGACATTCTCCAGACCGTCGTCCTGCAATTTCATTGTCTTTTTTACAAAACTCTGCTTACCTTTTGAGAATCGTCTTCCTCTTTGCCCTCCTCTGGCTCGATTTCGCGATCTCGCTGATCGTCGTTCGCCGCCAATTGGTCCGTATCTCGATCAGCAGCTAAAAAAAATAGTTATGATTGCCTTTGACAATTAACCTTGGTTATTTTGATCGAGCTCCTTCTCCCGATTCTCCTTTTCATCGTCATCCCAAAGCTTCGGGTCGAGCTGGTCTTCCTCGGCTTCATCGACTTGGCCCATCTCGTCGTCAATCTGCGGCTCCTTTTCATCGTCCTCTTCATCATTGCCCTCCTCGTTTGTGTCCTTTTCCTCGCGATCGATATCCCGAATATCTTCAGGAAAGTCCTCTTCCATCTCAATTGGCGTGTCATTCTTTGTTGAGGGGCCTTCGGGGTTGTCTTCTGGTTCATCCCCCTGAATACACATTTAGGAGCGCTTCTGAAAGGGACGCTAAAAGCGGTGCTATTATAGGACTTGCCTGCAGTCCCTCGATTTGCCCTGTCTCCTCCATCTCGTCGGTCACGTCCTTAGCGTTCTAAAACGATGCGTCATAAGACCTTCAAAAAGATGCTCACATCAGATCCCTTTCCTTCGCCCATACCACCGCCTTCGCCTCCTTCAATATCCTGACCATCGCCGCCTTCAGTCTTCTCAGGTTTTGGAATCAGGTTGACGTATCCCTAAACGATTTAAAGGTTAGACTTTACTCCCCCCCCCCCCCCCCAGCAGCAAGTTCCCAAAAGTTTTTCGCTATAACTTTTTTATATTACATTATTTTGGGCTGTAATTAAAACTCGTAGTATTTTTTTTGATGCTCTATCGAATGGCGTAGTCAAAATCCCGACAAAATAGCGAAAATCTCTAAAATTTTTGGGAACTTCCGGGGGGGGGGGGGGTAAAGTCAAGTCTAGCCGATTTAAATAAGTCATGCGAGTACATCCAATATAAAGAAAATCGGTTTCCAGTTATATTCTTACCTCCTTGAACAATTGCTCGGCGAGTGAAAGTAGCCTGTGGTAACAGCCCGAGAAAGTATGAAGTTGACGCAATGAACGTGAGACGAGGGAGAAGAACAAGTCGAAGCAAAGCGCCGTCAGCCGGGCCGTCTCCTCCAAATCAGAGGGAATCTGGCCAATTGAAAGACCGCGAGCCATCGACGATAGATGGGAGATAACCTGAAATCAATTAGAGTAGAGATGTACGCTACGCTTCACCTTCGCCACACCACAATCGTCAACTATCTTCAAGAGGACGTCATATTTTTCGAGGGGCTTCTGACTTTCCGTGAATCTTTCCTCCTCTTGGCACTGAAAAAGTGACGTTGACGCTGATGGTATAAAGTCCTGTACCTTTTTGTAAACGCACTGGATGTAGAGCAACAATGGTTCTTGCGAATATTCGACATCTTGCCAGGATATTTGCGGTATCTAAAGGGCCGCTCAAGGCGCATTAGTAGCAAATACACACCTCGACAGAATTTTTGAGGGCTGAGAGGGAGGCTGTCATCTGCAGGACCTCGGCCTCGAAATACGGCTGAATCTCGTTGAGTGCCTCGTGAAGGGTGTCAATGGATTGGTCGACTCGTGTGAAGGCCACCTCGATTGCTGACCTAGAAGAAAAACAAGGTTATTCAATCCCAGATAATTGGCACCTTTCGTAAAGTTTGCAGTCGTCATCGATGCCCCTGCCAGCTCGTTTCAAATCCATGAAGGCCATCTTGACATCAGTGGCTATTTGTAGAGCATGACGCGTGGCTTGCTCGAGCTTTTCCAGCTCTGGCTGGCCCCGGTACAATCTGGAGAGCGGGTGGAGGTGCGGATAGTCGTCTGAAAGTCTCTAGATAAGACACTAACGGATCATTATACCCGATGATGGTCCATTCGGTACATCGACAAGTCGTCTCAAGCAACGCTCCAGTGCAAAATAGACACGGTCGGCGCAGTCTTGAAGAATCGGCAATCGTTCGTTCAGAAGCGTGTAGCTGGGAAAATACCCATCCTGCAAAAATGATAAAGTTTTTTTAGAACCAAACCTTAGTATTCTTAGCGGCCACTTGCAGAAGCCCCTTCAAATTCCGCAGGGCCAACAGCTGCTCGGCCCACGTTTCCTCCCGCGTTTCGGCCTCGATTTGCCAGTGCAGCCCGTACTCGACCATGCCAGTGAAATGGCCGCTGAACAAAATACTTGTTTAGGAATCACGCCCGGCGATGTTACCAGGTACTGACGCCCAGCTGATCGTTAGGGGTGAGCGCCCGCCTCGTGATGTTGCTTCGCCCAGCCGCAGCGGCCCGGACGAGAGATTCGCAGGGCAACGTCTTCACATCGTGCTTCAGACCGGTGACCGATTTTTTCGACAGAGCCTCTGGAAATACAGGTTATAATCGTAACAAAAAAACCAGAACCTTTGTCGATGACGACTGCTCGACGTGCATTCAGCCCAATCGTCTGTGCTTGTTTGATCACCTAAACCGGGCCATCGAAACTTCAGGAAACATACCATTGCAACAGCCCGTTGTCTTCGATTCCGCTCATATCCCTGTAGCTTCTCCTTTTCAGCATCCTCGCCGACGTAATCGACACGTTTGCGCACCAATTCGTCGCAGGCCTGAATTTCTACATTTTCGGGGTGTTCAGCAACGCCTACCTGGATCTGTTCGGCAAGCTCGACAAAAGGTTCTTCGGCGCATTCTCCTTCTACTTTGCCGAGCGCCTTTTGAACGAGATCTTCAGCCGTCCGCAGCCGTCCACGAAGCTCTTCTGACGATGCTGCCTCGGGAATTCGAATCGTTTGCCTCATCAAATCATCGACATCTATCAGCTTTTCCAACAACGGCGCGACTCCCTCGTTTGTCGTCTCCTAAACAACAGTTTCGATTTTCGATGGTACAAACCCGGAATTTCTTGATGATTTTGAAGATCTGGGCATGGGCCTTCTTCGAAGAAGCCTTGATGTTGTCCAGATTCAAATCGTTGTACTTCGCAATGTGGACATAGTCCTAAAATGGTGAATATTTTGGGCATGTTACCAGCAGCTTACTTTCAACGACTGTTCGGCCGGCTTGTGTGCTTCTGCCAGGCGGGACCGGACAATCGGTAGGAATTGGGCAAAATGGGCTGCTGCTGAGGAGAGCTGTATGGCAAGGTTCGCGTGGCCCAACTTTTCGGCCCACCGAGCGAGATCGCGCACTAAAAAGGGTATAGTACGATGAGTTATGTTCATTTTTCCGAAACTGATTTTTCCCAAAAGTCATTTTTCTCAAAAAAAGTCTTTCCTAAAATTTGCCATTGAAATTGGGATGCGTGAATATATCGAGAAAGGTCAAATGCTGTCATTTTTGGTTCTTGGCTTTTATCAAACGTTTTTTTTATTTTTAGAAAAATGATTTTTAGGAAAAATCATATTAGGAAAAATGACAGTAATTCGATACACATAAAGGAATTACCCGTCTGGATTCTGACGGCGAAATCCATCAAAGAGCCATGATGCAACCATTCGATCGCCTGAGGCACCAGATTTTTGGTTCTAGGCAACATTCGGTTATGCATATAAAAAATTAATTTACCCATCGGCGGAGAATAGAGACTCGAAAAGCGGCCAAGAGACGAGATAGGTGCGTGTTTCGGAATCGTCGATAGTTCGACTCAACAGGATCGACCAGCAGCGGACCTGAGCGCATTACAAGCAAAGAACAATACCAGGATACCTCCAGTTTCTTCCACTCCAACAGCAGCTCCTTCAGCGGCATCATCTGGTCCCGAATAGAATTCGCACGATCAGCCAATTTCACCCATTCCTCGCACGCACCTAGAAAGTGTTCATTTTGAAAAAGCGAGCGTCAAACCTAAGAGCTCTTCCAGGCGGATCGAAAGCTTCATATGCGTAGCGCTCAGTGATTCATCCTCAAAGGTATCGATCGCCTCCAAAATACGCTTCAGCGAGACCACCTAGAAATGTGGATTTAGTCAATTGCTAAAAAGGAGTGTTTTATGTGATCGTGGAATTTTGCGATGTGAAATAGCTCATTCGGTGCTAATGCACTTGGGGGGGGGGGCAGTCCAAAATTGGTAGTAAGGGGTTACGAGACGCTCCGCTTAAGTTACTTGGTTTTCGGCTTAAGCCTAGGCTTAACTTAGCTTTAACTAAGCTTACCTTAAGCTTAGGCTTAAGCTTAAGCCCAAGCTAAGCTTATCTTGAGCTTTAAATTGCCTCAGGAGGTCAAAATAGGGTCATTTAGGGCTAAGCTTAGAGCTAAGCTTAGCTTGGCCCAAGCTAAGCTCAGGCTTTGTTTGTATGAAGCTAAGCCTAAGCTTAGGCTTGGCTTAGGTTTTCCGGAGGCTTCGAGTTTAAAAAACGGCATTTGGAGCATCTTGTAGTCAAAATTCGGACTGCCCCCCCCCCCCCCCAAGTGCATTAGCACCGCTCATTCGATAGAGCTTCAAATTCTGAACATGCCCCATCTTTCAAAAACGGCTGAACGACCACGGTTTCCGAGAAAATTCGCTCTTAAAGGGCCGCTTTTGAGCATTTTTGAGCCCCGTCAACAAAATGCAAACTTTGAGGAACCGCTTCTTAAATAACCGCTGTCGTTCAGAAGTGTTTGAAAGATGGGACTTGTTGAGGATTTGAAGCTCTATCGAATGAGCTATGCCACATAGCAAAATTTCCAAGGTCATCTAAAAACCAAACGAACCTCCGGCCATCTTTCCTGAACTTCCACGGTCCGTTTCCTCAGCCCATCCAAGTATTTGAGAGCTTTGTGGATTTCCAGCGTGCACGATCTTCTGTACACATCGAGCGGGCCGTTTTGTGGACTCTTCGTGATGATGTTTTTCAGCAAGGCCAATTGGAGCTCTGGAAAATTGAGCGACAGGTAAAATCTAATGCCAAAGCAAACCGGTAGCTTGATACTGGACATCGAGTGGCAATTGTCCGACGGAAGCGGCCATTCTTGACAGCCAAATTCGCGCCACACATCGCCTTTCCTTTGCCGTCTTTTCGTGAGAGATATCAGTGTTGTTTGACACTTCACAGAGCAACTCGCACATCTGGTCCACGTTGAGAATCTAAAACCGGGAAATTATAGAACCGGAAATAAGCAGCAACCTGAGAATCCTTGTCAAAGACGCCGTCGAAAAATTCGTTCCTTTCATCGTCATCTCGCTCTTCCTGCGGCTTCTCCCGGTAGTAAAATTCCTTGTCCTTGGCCTTTTGCACGTTTTGCTCAAACCTAAAAATGGCGGCTAAAAGTTCAGCAAAATGCAAAAACACCATTTCTTCCACTCTTGTCTGATCCATTCAAGAGAAACGAGCGTGTCGCGTTCTTGGGCCAGATTTTCGGCAATCAGCGCCGCCTTCAAGCCCAACGGCAAAGGTGATCGTTCCCGGACAGCCCAGGTCTCCAACTCCGGCAACCGGAAGCCTTCGGCCGTTTGGACCACCTAAACCCATGTATTGAAATCTAAGCGCTAAAACGCAGCTAATTACGACCGTAACATACAAAACAGCAACATACCGTGATTTTAGGCGGTATCGAGTGTGAAGTTACAAGGCTCTGTTTCTCGATTTGCTTGTCCAACGAAGCAATTGACTGAAAAACCCAATCGTAAAAAAATGCCAATTGAAAAAAATTTGGTCCTGGACTGTTAGCGCGGGACCGAAATTTTCCGTGATTTTCTATGGCCCTATAGCAAAATATTCACCATTTTTATAGCATCTCACGTAGTTCTTAGATATAAAACAATAAAATATCGAAATCAATTTTCGAAAATTTTTGCCTCGTAAGTCAAAAATGTATGAAAAATGGTAAAAATTTTCGAATTTTGAACATTTTCAAATATTTTTTAAAACTACCAAAAACACCATAAAAATACATAATATACCATCAACATGTACGACATGTGGAAAACAAAAAGTGGTTTTCCCCCTGCTAACAGTGCAGAACCAAAAAATTTGATATAAACCGCCTACCTCCAAAACCGCGGTCCGAACAATGTAGAGCCCAATGATGAAGGTCAGCGATACATCGACAAACGTCGGATAACGCCTCAGCAATCCGTTGATCATCGACCGAGCGCTCATGGAGAATGAGATGAGTTGCTGCTGCAGCAGCTTCATCTCGCCAAGGTCAGCCTGAAAATTAACATAAATCCATGTTTTGCATATATAATTCCAAATTCAATAAGCATTTGTTTCATCGAATAAAAGAAGTCTGTAACGCGATTCCCGCAGATTCGCGTCTCTTTCCCGTTGGATGCAGTGTCCAGGTATTTTTATAACATCCGCAACTTGCAAAATGGCGGTAGGCGCGCCGCCCAAGGCGCCGCCGGGCGACACGTCCAGTGCCACGGCTCCAACCACAAACTCGAAAGGTTACGATCTCTTGTCTGTCTTCAAAAACGTGTTCAGTCCCTCCTGGAAGTACTGCGCTTCCCCCGCCACCGCCTCATCCAGAGACCATGATCACCGTCAACATCAAATCCATCATGCAGAAAGTTCCGGATGTCGGTCTTGATTTTTATGCCTTGCTGCTTTGGTGCTAATGCAGTTGCGGGGGGGGGGGGCATTCCGAAATTGGTGCTTTTCCAAAGGTTCGAGTTTAAAAACGGCGTTTGGAGCGCCTTGTAGTCAAAATCCGGACTGCCCCCCGCAAGTGCATTAGCACCGATGCTTTTGCCGATCGTAAAAGACCTGGTTTTCAATGCAGCGTTTTAGACCAAAGTACATATTCGTCGCGATGCCCCTGCCCGGGACCTGCACCAAATCGTCAGCGAAAAAATGGATATTGGCGTCGACAAGATGACGCTCATCTACAATGGAGCGGAAGTTCGGTCAGTTTTTCACAACGGCTCGGATACAACTGATGCATTTTATTCTAAATTTTGCAGGAACGACGAGCAACCGCTGTCCAACTATGGCCTCAAGAATGGAGCCAATGTTACGGTCAACGTGAAGCTGTCTTCTGGCGGGGGGCTAGCGGGAAATTCGGTATGTTCACCAGGCAAAATATTTTTTAATTCAAGCTTCTCCAGTTCTGGATTGTTAGCGGGGGAGACAAATTTTTTTCGTGTATTTTTCTACAGCCCCATAGCAAAATATAAACCAGTTTTATGGCATTTTACATAGTTTTTAGATGGAAAAAATCTAAAAATAATAAGAAATTTTGGAAAATTTTGGATTTTTTGGTCAAAAATTTATGAAAAATGACCAAAAAAGGTCAAAATTTTCGAATTTTTTATATTTTAAAATGATTTTTAAACTTTCTAGCAATCGAAAACAACTAAAAACACTATAAAAATTAATAATATAGCATCAAAAGGCAGGCATAGATGGAAAAAAGTAGTTTGCCCCCCTGCTAACAGTCCAGAACCGCTTCCCCAACCATTCCGTGTGAAACCCTTCATTTAGCGCGGGACCACTTCGCTAGTCTTCCTGTTGCCACCGATGATTGTTCCAAAAGATGTGGGCGATGCCCGGATCACCGTTCGGGGTGTAAATCGTCGTCCCCCACGCGCCCCCAAAAGCCCCAACCCCGAGCCACCCAGCATGAATTCGAAGCAGAAGCACGAAGAGCATGAGAAGACGCGTACGCGCATGAAGGTATTCATTGCCGAGGTGGTGCAGAGCGTTACAGATTTTAATGAAGCGCCGTGGGATGATGAGGACTCGCAGCTTGTCCGCCGAACCGACAGGTTCTGTCGCTGGATCGGCCGTTGGATCTGTGATGGGGTATGAAAGATAAACTTAAGACTATTAATTCCGCGGTTCAGGACTGTTAGCGGGGGGCGCCAAATTTTTCGCTGTGGTTTTCTACGGCCCTATAACGAAATATAAACCATTTTTATAGGATTTACGTAGTTTGTAGATATAAAAACAATGCAAAAAATTATCAATTTTCGAAAATTTTTGATAAAAAATGTATGAAAAATGACCAAAAAAGATAAAAATTTGCGAGTTTTCAAAATTTTTAAATAGATTTTTCATAAGTTTCTAGCAATCAAAAGCTACTAAAAACACTAAAAAACTATTAGTACAAAAATACATTACCAAAATACAGATTATAAGCAGATAGGTGTAGTAGGTGGAAAAAACAGAAGTAGGCTCAAGTCTAGGAAACCCCCCCCCCAGCCGACTTTTCAACTTTTCTACCTTCATTATTTTTATTTTTCGCTACTTTTTTCGACTAAACTGCAATGTAGTCTTACTAATTAGCCTACGGCGAACATTTTGGTATACTTTAGAGCTCGCTAGCACAAAAGGGGGCCGAGATACAAAAGTTGGTGCCGGCTGGGGGGGGGGGTTTTCTAGACTCTTACCCAGAGGAAGTTCCTTGCTAAAATCCCTCCCCCTGCTAATAGTCCAGAACCAATTCCGCCTAATCGACAAAAGATTCCCAAATATTCAGCTCGACGATTGGGACACCGAGTGAGCCGGTGACCGGGGAACTGAGCCGTCCCTTTGACATGATGGCGGCCAGCCCGATGCAGTCGACGACATCAATCACGTCTTCTTCCGCTGGTTCGCCCGCCAACACGCCAGAATATCGGCCTGTCACTGATAAGGTAAAACCCTTATTAGAACTGGCCAAAAAATTATATAAATAGGAGTTGCTGCTCTATTTCCCGTGCGCCGAGACAGAGGCCGAGCTGAACGTGATGCGCAATGATCTCTTCACCCCGCCCCAGAACTTAAAGGTCGGGTGCTCCTTCGTTAGCGGGGGGGGTATTGTCGCAGGTTTTTCAATAATGCAATGTTTTCGGGGCAAGTTTAGCTAAAAACACTATAATTCAAGAAAGTTATAACAAAAGCAAAAAAAATCCTGAAAATGGGGTTGCCAAGCTATTTTTCGAACTTTTCGATATTGTCTAGATTCTGTTAACGCTATTGAATAAAGCATCAAAAATAAAGGAACAGTTTCTGATACAGCTCAAAATAATGTAATTTAAGGTAAGAAAAGCTATCGACAAAAAAAATGTTTCCCCCCGATAAACCCCCCCGCTAACGAACCAGAACCAAAGGCGTCGAAAAATGCCTTAAATGCCTTATCAACGCTCACCGAACCTTTTTTCTAGGAGTTGAAGCAAATCCGTTCGGAACGCGAGAAGGTTCGGCGCACACGATGCCGGGTAGATTTATGCCTATCAACCCCAGGAATAAAGCAATAACCATTGCAGGCGTGCAACCGTCGCCTCTCGTTGGCCCAGCAGGAGCAAAAGTGCAAGTGCGAGCGGGCCTTCTGCTACAAGGTAAATTTGGCGAACGAAGTGCGACATCGCCGTCTTACAAGGAGACGGAGTTTTGGTTGATCGCTGATTTCGCTGATCAAAATCTACTTTTCGGAATCTGTGAAACGACCAAAACCAGAAAGTTACGACGTTTAAAAGGCCGACAAACTGCGAAAGTTGGCCAATTTTGGCATTTTTTACACTTTAAAGCTTCGTAACTTTTGAAATATGGTCTTTTCGCAGTTTCGAAAAAGTACGTTTTGATCGACGAAAAATTCTGCACAAAATAGGCTGGGTCCCATTTTGAAACTCCGTGGACACTAAAAACACCCCCCTTTTTAGCATGTCGAGCCTGAGCAGCACAACTGCCCCATCGACTACAAGAATACCGGGCGCAGCAAAATCCAGAAGGCAACTATCGACGAATGGCAACAAGCTAATTGTTTTTTTTTGTAGGAGAACCCGAAGGTCGAGGCTGGCGGTGCGCGCAAGGCCCGCGACGAATAAGCTCAACGACGACACTCATCTGCTACAATAATTCACCCACCCTCCCCCCCACCCCCCTCATCCGATTAATTTTGTATTTGTAAACATAACTCGAAATCTCTTCCTACTCAAAACAGACAAAGCAGTGCGCTCTGGTTCAGCAAATAAACGTTTGATTAAAGCTCCCGTTACACGATTAAAGCTTACCTCCGCATTTGAACGCGCTCGCTCAGCAGTCTCGGCCGTCAGCAAGATGAACGATTGGAGCTCGGCAATCATTCTCGCGTATTCGGCAGCATTTTGGCGATAGATGCAGTATCGTTGCGAAGTGCGCCGTCCGTCGATCTGAAAATGTAATTTTAATCACCACAGATCGCGCGGCACGATGTTTTTTTCTCTGATTTCGACGTGAAAACGCTTGAAATTGAACATTATGACGCGATTTCCGTAATTGAAAAACCGCGAAGCACCGTTTCCGCGACAAAACCGCTATTGCGAACGAACCTCGTCTCGAAGTGCTTGTCTTCGCCGCCACAAATAGCCGATAAATGGGTGCGGCGAATTTGCGTCGCATTCTGGTGACTGCGCCGTTGTGAGTCGGCGGAAACGGGCCAAACAATCCAGCTGTCCCTCCACAACGTTCAGCGAGTCGAGCAGATATTTCTCGCTGGCTTCCTCGAAGACGATCGGATCCATTGTCTCCGGGGGCGGGCAAGCCTTCTTCATCAGTGTCAGACCGGCCGCCAATCTGAAAGGAAGGAGGAGTAAGAAGGGTAAGACTTTACTTTACGTCACCAGCCGGAAGTTCCCAAAAGTTTTTCGATATAACTTTTTTTATTTTACATTATTTGGGCTGTAATTAAAAATCTTAGTAAATTTTTGATGCTCTATCGAATGGCTTAGCCAAAATCCCGACAAAATTGCGGAAATGTCGAAAAATTTGGAAAATTCCGGTTGGGGAAGGAAAGTCTAGCCGTAAGAAGTTATAGATGCCGTTCAAAATGCTACCTGCCAGTCCAGTCGACTTCCAGAACCTCCCCGCCACTTGTCCATCCCTCGAAACCGTCCAGCATCCTTTGCAATTCGCTCCTGTCAGATGGTTTTTTTGTGTGAATTCAGAACAGTACCCGATAGAACGTTGGATCGCCCCGGAATTAGCCGCCAGTCTCCAGAAATTGTCGCGCATTTCATCCAATGAGAACATTTTCAGATCACGGACCTGTCACGAATTAAAATATAGTCTTAGCAGAAATTACCTTCAATTCCGACATGGTCGCATCGTATCCCAACGCCGCCCATAGTGCATTGTTTATTTCGAAAAATGGGCTCAAATTGGCAAGCTCGACCACCTAAAATGGGTGTAATGGCAAGACAGATCCTCTGACCGCCGTGTCTCCAAAATAAGACTGGTTGCACAGTGCGGCAATTCTGGCGATCCGTCTCGGTACCTCACCGCGCCAATTCAGATGCGACAGTGCCTTCAAGTCCGAATATTCGTTGGCAATCTAAATATCATCACAATATTATGAAAGGGAAACCAACTTTTCCCTGGCGGCCCCGGGTGGCCTAGTAATGAAATTGAAAATGACTTTACATTGTTTTTAGTATGATTTCACTATGTTTAAAGTAGAAAAACGTTCAAAAAGAATTAGAAAATCGTCTAAAAAAGCCGAAAATTTGGTCGTTTTGGGTAAAAAAAATCGATTTTTCTAAATAAAATTCAATCCTACTATATATAAAAAAAAATAGTGTCTGTGTGTGTGTGTGAGTGTGTCCGTGCCACTTTGCATGCAAATTCCGTCAGCGTGTTCCAGCAGTATCTCAATAAGGGGGTCAGTTAGGGCATGTTTATACATCATTAGGTGCGTAATGGCCCTGGGATGACTGCACAATAACAAAATTTTCGAAAATTATGTGTTTTCGACGTTAAAATTAAGTTTTTGTTGAAAAACCCAGGACCCTCTTTGTTAGGAAACAATTAGCATGCGCCGGATGTGGCGGTTGCCTATATAAGGGAAGAGAGGAAGCGTTTCTCATTTTTTGTCATCGAAAATCGCTAGAATTATGCAAAGCGCAATATCATGGGATTAGACGGGGCCAGGGTTGAAAAGTCGCGAAGCGGCTTTTCAACCCTGGTTTTTCATTAAATTTGTAACGTTTTTAGGCTTAGGAAGCGCTAAAGACAATCCAAAAACGCAACCGCTATTGATAAAAAAATTAGGCAGGCCTAAAAAAGTTGGTTCCCCCGAAAACCCTAGCGGACCGAATTACCTCATCAAATTGCTGGCAACCGTTCGCCCGAATGAAGTGCGCAATCTTGATGGTCCGTTGCAGGAGTTTTTCGACGAAGGCCAAGGGGGATTCGGGCATTTCCATTTCCATTTCAGCGACGGTTGTGGAGAGCTGGTTCACAAATTCCTAAGCAGCGCTTATAAAACATAAGAAATAGCACCTCGGAAGAAGCCTGCGTCTCAAAGCCGTCAACAGGTCGCGCTGCTTCATAGGCGACCAGATATTCACGGACGAATGCTTCGTGCGATTCTCGAGACCATACCGACGACATTGCCAAGAAGTTCTGTTTCAACTCCACGGAGCTAAAAAAGTATAATGTAGTATAGCCACGCCCCTCTTCGTATTTCTGGCTCAACTAAACATTTTTAAAGTAATTTTTATTAATGCTAATATTAGTATTAACAACAAAAATAATTAAAAACCCATTTTTTTTCCTGGTGGAGGGTTGGTCTAGCAACCAAATATAAAGTGTTTGACATTGCTTTAGTACATTTAAATTAATAAAACTTTCAAAAACGTTGGAAAAATGTTTGAAAATGCGAAAACTTGGTCATTTTAGGTCGAAAAAAATCAAGTTTTAGACCAAAAATTAAATTTCATAATTAAAATTTGTTGAATTTTAGTGATTAGGAATAGCTAGAAAAATTTAGAAACGCATCCGCTATTTATAAAAAATTTAGAAAATTTATAAAGTGCCCCAAAACACATACCTGTTGAAACTGGCCGACTGCATGGCGGACCAAGCGATGTACAAAGGAGCTGAGCCAAAACGCATTGACAGCTCCTTGCGGGCTTCCACGGAAAAGGCCAGTAAGTGTAGCAGGAACGCCACTATCTTCTCTTCGTCTTCCTCATCCGGCATCTAAGTTTTTATGATTGTGATGATGAATTTATGAGACTGACCTTGTCCGATTTCAAGTAATGACACACAGCTTGTAGCAATGGCGCGATCTGATGAAGCCCATTAAAGGTCAATTCGTGGTTGGACAGTTCGTCTAAAAACACATTAACTAGAAGACATACAGAAAATCCCACATTTAGTAAGCGTTGTAGAAAGGGCTTCGGCAGAATTTTCGTGGAGGAATTCCGAGTCGACAAGGCGAAGGCACCATTCTTTCAACAGAGTAATCGCGAAGACCATCTTCCGATTTTCGCTCCTGCAAGAGATATTAATTAGTAGACGTCCAGCGCACCGTAAGACGCCGTTGAATCGTCCGTCGATGGGGTTGTTTGTCGTCTTCAAATCTTCGAGCTGAGCAGCGAGCCGGGTATACAGCTGTCGGCCTGGAAAAAGCCGGGAAATGAGCCCCAGAGAAGAGATGTTTGACGAACCAAACAAAAAGAAGGTGCTAATGCACTTCGGGGGGAGTCAGGATTTTGACTACAAGACGCTCCAAATGCCTTTTTTAACTCTAAGCCTCTGGAAAAACTAAGCTAAGCCTAAGCCTAGGCTTAGTTTCATACAAAGGAAGCCTAAGCTAACCCCTTCTAACCGCTTACGGAATTTCGGACTCCCCCCCCCTAAGTGCATTAGCTCCAAAAAGAAAAATGTATTCTACCTAGCAATGAACCTTCTGAAGCCATAGATACCAGCGTCATCTTGCTGCCCGCCAAGGCCATCAACAGCATGTAGAGATGAGGTTCACCCTGAATTTATTGATAGAATTCAAGTGCTACAGACCTGTCCAGCCAGATCCCATTGATCACAGGTCCATTTCATCAGCCCGGAGGTCGACATGGCAGCGGAGACGCTAATCGGCACCGAGAGCGGCCCAATGTAGGGTTCCAGATCTTCGACGGGAACACCCAGATGACGAAGAGCGTCTTCAAACCCGATTTCCTTCAACAGAACGCCGAGGCGTAGAAGTTGCTGACTTTCCAGGGTGGACAGGGAGTAGATCAACTAGAAAATCACGATGTCAGGCTGCTAATTGCCGGCTGTACCTTGGTCGGGACTTCAAAAGACCGATCGGCCATAGATCGGAGCACCGCCAGCGAATCACAAATGTCGGAAGCCCAGTCTTGTTCAACGAAGATTTCGACGCTACGGTTCCGCATTGCCCTTGAGACCTCTCCGTTCAAAGTGTCCATCGCGAAAAAGATTCTGGAACAGGATTGTTGGTAAGAATCTAGGGTTCTGGACTGTTAGCAGGGGGAACCATTTTTTGTTTTTTCCACCTGTTGATATAATGTATTTTTATAGTGTTTTTAGCAGTTTCTGATTGCTAGAAAGTCATAAAAAAAATTTAAAAATTCGAAATTGACCTTTTTTACCATTTTCATAAATTTTTGAATTTAACATGAATTTTTTAGATTGTTTTTATATCTAAAAACTATGTAAAGCGCTATAAAAATGGTTTCTATTTTGTTATGCGACCTTGAAGAATAAAGGGAAAAATTTGGTTCCCCCCCTGCTAACAGTCCAGTACCGAAGCCGGCAAAACCCCCAATATCGTTTGACAACGCAAGACAGCAAAACGCACCGGAAGTTTGGATGCGGGCGAAGCGGGACAAAGTCGCCCCTTTCAGCAACGACCAATGTTCCACCGGCTTCGAGACAGCTATTCAGACGATCGAGCACAGCCCCACTAAAGGTATATATAGCTCAGTATTCGACAAATAAGAGACTTACCTGCACAAATTGACATCTTCAACCAACAGCCAGTGCCCCTCCAGAAACGCGCGCACAAATTGACTATCCACCCAGGCGAATCTAAAAACCCCTCATTAGGATTTATTTTCACGTCCGCCCAATCCATAATCTAAATAAGCAACTCACCGCATATCCGAGCTCGCCGCAGCCTTCAAAATAGAATGACACTGTTCACTCAGCGTCACATCGTTCTCCAATGAAGCCAGGGCCAACTAAAACGATGTTTATCATTCCATAGCATCGGCGGTACTATACCGGCAGCGGGGATTTTTCCCGGAATCTGGGAATTTTCCCGGAATCGGGGATTTTTCAGAAAGAAGGGGGAAATTGGCTGAATCTTGGGCCCGGCGAAATCGCGGATTTTTGACGGTTTTAAGGTTTGGGAGGGGCTAAAACCCCCGATTTCCAATAGTCTGGAAATGCCCCAAAACACGATACTTTAACCCTGTCATGCGATTCCGGGAAAAATCGTCGATTCCGGGAAAAATTCCAGATTCCGGAAAAGTCCCCGTTGCCGGTATAGAACCGCAAAAACACTAACCTCGACGGCAGTCTCGAGACTAACAAGACTATCGGCTGCCTGAACGGCCCGTCGGTTCTTATCGTCGAGTTTCGACTTGAAAAGTGCCAGTAGAGCCTCCTTAGCCTTTGTAAGATGCGTGTTGTCAAGAATCTGAAGAGTGCCCTTGAATGTAGAGACAAATGATACCTGCTCATAGCTTCCGATCAACTCTTGAGCATCCGTCTCTGCATTCAGCGATATCGTCTTCAGCGTTGCGCCCGTGAGTGTTGCCAACGTCGTAATGGCGGAACGCTTTCCCGAGTTTCTACAGCAAATTTTTATGATAAACTACGGCAAATGACAAGCAGACTTTTTTTAGTGGCCACTGAGTTTCGAAATGGGACCAAGCCGATTTTGTGCAGATTTTTTGCTTAGCAAAAATAGCCAGCTTTTGCGGCTTTTCGTCCTATAAAGCATCACAACTTTCTTATTTTGGTTGTTTCGCCGATTTTGAAAACGACGTCTTAATCAGAAAACAAATTCTACACAAAAGAGGCATGGCCACATTTTGAAATTTCGAGGACAATACAAAACGTCACGTGAGTTAACCATATCCTTACAAAAATTTACCTGGGACCGACGAGCAGTGACAACCATCCGAATTTGACGCAAGCAGCCAGTTGATAAAGAAGCACCTTTTGTGTCGGCAGCAGGGACAATGTGTTCGCGGCGTTTGTTCCTATAGACGACTTTCGAGAGACTAGGAAACAAACCATCAGTGGTCGCTGTTTTCGACACTTGCCGATCTCCGATCAGCAATGCAGATTCATCACACGAAATCATGGCCGGAACCAAGCATGGGCGGACGTCAAAAAACTTCGCAAATATTTCCGATGCCTATAACACCATTTAATGATGGTTGGATGCGCTCACCGTTTCTCTATCTCCCGAATTCCTCAAGCGGGCGCTGTACAGCGTCATGAATGTCGATGCAGCGTTGTGTGTCTAAATCCGTAGTGTATAAGAGCAAATCGGTAGCAAAATAAAGATAGAAGGGCGAAAAAAAAGTAAACTCACCGCACAGTAAGCCTCGATCCAGCGCAGCAAATCACGTAGATTGAATGTGAAGGGTCCTCCTCGAAACGCAGCACGCCCCATTTCTTCGTTCACCGAGATCATAGACCGCAGGGTGCCCTCGTCAATGCCAGCGGCCAGTTCGTTCTAAAAATCCACGTAAATCTTGTAAAATCGGCGCCTCCACCTCGCGCAAAATCAGGAAGATGTCGTTGGCTGTCAAGTCGTCGACCCATATCTATGAACAATTATAAACCTCGATCTAAGGCTGATACCGTGGTAAAACGGTTGATGAACGATTTGGGCAAGGCGCGTCGATTGCCGCCTTGGGCTTGTGGATTCTGACAGGCGAAGAAGCGAACGTCAGAGCCGGAGGGTATCTGAAATTGCCTCATAGAATCGGGGCCAGTCGGATGTTTGTATTTGGTTATTTGTATTAGGTTAGTTTTCGCTATAACTTTTTTTATATTACATGATTTTGGCCGTGTAATTAAAAATCTTCGTATATTTTTTGATGCTCTATCGAATGGCGTAGTCAAAATGCCGACAAAATAGCAAAAATTTCGAAACATTTTGGGAACTTAGAATCCCTTTGAGAAACAATGCACAAACCTGGAATGTCTTGTTGATCTCCGGAATGTAGACGACGCCCCGGTGATCAAAGCACGCGTTCAGACCCTCCAAAACGGATTGGGAAGCCAGATTCATCTAGAGAGAATTTCCCTCAACTTTCCACTGTATCACCTCGTCCAACAGCACCCATTCGCCGGCCTTGATCGCGCGCAATACCGGACCGTCTTGCCATTTGAACGATACGACGCCGTCGTCGAGAAAAACAGGAACGTCACATCCAAATAGCTCGGAAAGATCCTAAGACCAGAATTCGGGTACTTTAAAACGGCCTACTGTCTGCTCGGAGAGATTGACTCGAGTAATGGGATGGCCAGTAACTTGCGCGAGGGCCATGACCTGAAGTGAAATGAGGAGATGAATGACAAAGGAACGAAAGGCTAGACTTGATTTTACCTCCCCCCAGTCGGAAGTTCCCAAAATTTCTCGTTATAACTTTTTTATATTACACTATTTTGGGCTGTAATTAAAACTCATAGTATATTTTTTGATGCTCTGCCGAATGACGTAGCTAAAATCCCGACAAAATAGGGAAAAGCTCGAAAAATTTTGGGTAAATTAAAGCCAAGCCGGACGGAAGAACTGTGAGAAAGGAATAACAGACCGAGCTACTTTTTCCACTGCCTGGCGGTCCCTCCAAAAGAATCGGTTTTCTGATGAGTAGACCCCGTGCCACACGATACAAATTGGACACGCAGGTCGGTGCGTTGAAGGAAAAGTTGGGCGGCGGGCGTGAGTCAAGGCGGCCGAATGGAACAGCCAATGGACCAATTTCAAGTTGCGTCGGAGCAATTTTGACCGATACGGGCTCGGAAATGGTCGTCACGTCCGTCGACAAGATAGCTGCGATCTAAAAACGGCCAATAAGTTGGATTTGCCGAAGCAAACCATTTCGTTTCCAATGCGCTTGATTTCATCCGAATCGACGGCGAACCGGGTGGGAAGCGTCGAAAGGCCATCAAGGAAACAGCAATGAATCGCTCCAATGATCGCCAACTAGAAAACCCGGAGTAGGAAATTTGGTCCTGGACTGTTAGCGGGGGGGGACCAAATTTTTCCCTGTCATTCCCTAGGGCTTTCTAACATATCAACCATTTTTATAAGATTTTACTAGTTCCTAGATATAAAAACAATATAAAATAACAAGCGTTAAAAATTTGTTACTTTTTGATCAAAAATGGTCCCCATTTTCGAATTTTCAAGATTAAATTTTTTTTGATACCATTTAGCAATCAAAAACTACTAAAAATATTATAAAAATACATCATCAACCAGTAGGTTTAGGTGGAAAAACAAAAAGTGGTTCCCCCTGTTAACAGTCCAGAACCGGAAATTCATAAAAACCTACGTTTCTTCCAAGACCGTGGTTGACCGCTGCGGCATACAAGTCGGTGCAGGCGACAAGGTCACGCACGGAGGGTAAATGCCTGAAAAAGAGAGTAACGATCGCAAACAGGCGAATCAAACGGAGTTCTAACTTTTTGTACCATTTTGTACTATCAATCTGCACTGTTTGATAAATAACTGACCGGAATACGTGCGAGAATTTTTCGTAAAAGTTGGCGATCCAGGTGATGAGAGCCGTGGACACAAAATGACGATCATCAGCCCCGATCCGGACCTGCTTTCGTAGACGCAATTCGCAAATTTCGGCCAGCTCATCAGTCTCGAATTCGCACGACGTCCAGACTTCGGTGAATCGATTGCGTAGAGCTTTTGACAGCTAAAATACGGTGCTTGTATCAACAACTCGACCGACCTCTTTTTTGCCGTAGTCTCCGCCCGGGTTCATTGTGGCAATTAGCTGGAAACCCGGTGCAGCGGCAATCGAAGTGGTCTCGACACCGGCGTCGGAAAGTAAAAGGGATCTAAACAGGCTAAAGGGATCAAGCAAAACACGTACCGGTTTTCCTCAAACAACGGGTTCAGGCGTTCAAGAACCGAATCTTCTGCCAAAGAAATCTCGTCCACGAGCAGAGCGGCGCCTTGTTTCATTGCAGACACGACGACTCCATCGCACCATTCAAAACTGAAATCCGTTCCGTCTTTCATATTTTTTATTTATAAAAAGCGGATGCATTTATAAATTGTTCTTAGCTAATCCTAAGAATAAAAAATACACAAACTTTAGCTAAAAATTAATTTTAAGTCCAAAAATTCTTTTTTTTCTCGACCAAAAATGACCAAATTTTCGACTATCTCAAAAAAATTTCTAACTTTTTTTTTTGACAGTTTTTCTACTTCAAATATAGTATCGAAACTTGCCCTCCGGATTCGCGAGGCCTGAGCCTTCCCAAAAGGTCGGCAGTTTCCGTTCTTTCGTGGCAGTTCAACGTCAGCATATTTCCACGGCTGATCATCTCGGCCAACGTCGTCTTGCCGCCTAGAAGAGCGCCAGCATAATGCAACATTCAATAATCGATACCCCCAGTCTCCCCAATGACCAAAACAGCTTCGTCGCGAAGCCAAGCTTGATAAGTCATGACGAGCATTTTGCGCATCCCCTGAATCATGAATTAATACACAGAAGCAATAAACCTTGGTCAACACAACATCGTGCGTCTGTAGGTCTTTCGGGAAATACTTGGAATCAGCCGCGAACAGGCTGACGTCATCAATTTTCCGTTTCAGCACCTTTAAACAAGTTGCAATCGTCACGTTGAACGGACCTTTTCGAGCGTCTCAACCACTGTCTTGCTGTCCTTCGGATTTCGGCATCGACCAGCCAACAAAAAGAAGCCATGGTTGGCGAGCGCCTGGAGCCAGTCGTCTTCCTGTGAGTCTGTCGAAAGGCGTTTGCCCCATCTGAAATCACAAGCTAGAGTAAGTTGAATGTCAAGAAAAAAAAAACAAGGGGGGGGGGGGGGAAACACATTTTGTTTTTCACCTATAACTGTTAATGGTATATTATGTACTTTCTAGTGTTTTTAGTAGTTTTTTATTGCTGGGAAGTTAGAAAAAATAGTTTTAAATTTTAAAATTCGAAAATTTTGACCGAATTGACCAAAAAATAACAAATTTGCCAAACTTTTTATTATTTTTTAATCTTTTTTTTAATCTAAAAACTATGTAAAATCCTATAAAAGTCGTCTATAACTTGTTATAGTGCAATAGAGAAACATAGGGAAAGATTTGGTCCCCCCCCCTGCTAACAGTCCAGATCCAAAAACAAAAACAAAGTCAGAAGGAGGAAGAACTAACAAATAAATGCGGAATGTCTTACCTGAAGACGTCACGCAGCGTCATCAGCCCATCCCTAGCCGAGAAAAGGCCAGACAGGGAACGACGCATTCTAAATTAGGATTTGGTGGCGATTAAATGCCCGCAACCTCAGTTCCGTTAAAACAGCAATCATCTTATTGGCGGCCGATGGATGGACGGAACAACGGGCGCATACCTAAACAAACCAATCAAGAAAAACCGGCATCGGAATCACCATATGAGACAGTTCATCGAAGGGCAGATGCGGAAAGCGAAGAACCACAAAGCGCGACAGAAGAGCTCTAAAATACGCTGAGATCTGCTGAAACAGACTTGCCTGCTCAATTTTTTGCGTCCAGCATAGGTGCCTGCCGGATTCTGGGTTGCAAAGAGCCGGAATGACGGATGCGCCTTGACTACCTTGTTCAGCTCCGGGATAAATAGTTCGCGGTTATCGTCGAGAAGCTGAAAAAACACAGGTTCTTTGGCATTATCGGGGGAGATTATTTCTTAGGATATAATTTTTCAAATATAAATAGAGGAGGTGTTTTTTAAATGGTTTTTTTCATTATTGCTAGACGAGAACAATATACAGAATTTTATTCAAAAATTCAAAAATATGGATTTATCGACCGGAAATGGTCGATTTTTGACCAAAATTTCGACTTTTTCAAAAATTTAGAAAGGCTTTATAGCTGGAAAAACGTTTTTTTTTGCTAGAAACGCTATTAAAACGCTTGCTATAAAGTTACTAAACATCTCTAGAATTTACAAAAATGTTCGCCCCGTAATGCGAAAAACTCGCAGATTATACCGAGAAAAATATCTCAAAAAGCTGGAAATACGTACCCGGTTGAGGGCTTCGATGACATCAGTTGGCGCCAGATTGAGCTCGTCCAGGATCACCCAGCTGCCTTCCTTGACAGCCCTCACCAATGCTCCTTCGCTAAAGACCAGTCGACCCGAATTGTCTGCCACATAAGAGCCCATATATCTAAGATAAGATTTTTGGTGAAAAAATTCGAAAATTCAACATACTCTTGAATATCGGTATGCTCGTGGTTGTTGATTCTGATGATCTTGTTGCCGGTGATTGCGCCGAGATGGCAGACAATCGATGTCTTGCCGACCGAAGTCTCGCCTTCGAGGAGTACCGGGAATCTAAATGCCAGTACAAATGATAGAGAGACAACGGTTGGCGATCGTTTTTTTGGAAAATCATATTGCCGAAAATCAGTTTTTCGAAAAGTCTTATTTTCGAAAGTCAGAATTTCGAAAAATTTGTGTGTAGCTAGCAATAGGAAATGGTCGCAACCGACATGAAATAGCAAAGCAAATTTTGCGAAATCCTGACTTTCGGAAAACTTATTTTGGAAAATATGATTTTTCGAAAAAGTGATTTTCGGAAATATGATTTCGATATGAAATAGATAATCATACCGGCCACTGCACACAATTCTGCTGATCTCCGAAAGATTCTCCCTCACTGTCTTTGTGATCACATAGGCATCATCTTTTCGTGGTAGCTCAGTGCCCGTTCGGATCCAGTAACCTTCCACCTGTACTGATAGTGTTACTAAAATTTCAGAAAATACCTCCGTATAATGATGTCCGTCTTCAGGGACGCTAATCTTGATCGTCGTCGAACTTGGGAAGGCGGAACTTCTGAAATAAATTCGACGATAGCTTTGCCGGGACGGTTCAACTCACATGTTCGAGCGCATTTTAGCCTTGTCATCTGAATCAAGATTGGACAAAAAAGCCATCTGAATAGCTTCTAGCAGAGAACGGTCCATATTTCCGAATAGATTGTCAGAAGCGAACAAAAGGGCACGGCAGAGAGTCCGAAGACTAAAATGGGAGGTTATACAAAATTTAGAATGCTGAAAACCTGTAGCACCCCGGAAAGAGGCCCTTGGAGCTGAGATAAAAGTTGGTGATCTTTTGCGTGACCTCCGGCCGTAGCGTTGGTAGGTAAGCCGAGATGATCTGAATCAAACTTTAGAAACTCTTGCAAAAGCGTTACCAATTGAATTTGGAACGGCTCCGTCGTCTCAGCCACATAGCATTCAATGAATTTTGTCCGGACGCTGGTTGGCAGCCTGGAAGGCAATTTGTGCAAAAATACCAACGATATAACGATTTTACCTCCGCTTTCCGGTGTCCGTCGCTGGATTCATGCAGGCAAAGAGGCGAAAGTCAGGGTGCGAATTGCTGATCGAATGGATAATCGCGTCCAAACATTCAGGAGATGCCAGGTTGATCTGAACAGGCAAGAGCAATTAGTCACATTTTCTTTTCAGACCATTTTTTCGAAATCATATTCCCGAAAATCACTTCATTTTTTCGAAAAGTCATTTTCCGAAAGTCAAATTTCCGAAAATCACCTCCGAACATCAGAATTTCGAAAAATTAGCATTGCTTTTTCATGAATTTTGGGGTTATTTCCTATGGATAATTGGTCGCAAATTTTTGTCTATAGTCTTACCTATCGAAAATGATTCTCGAAAAAGTTATTTTCAAAAATATGATTGTCGACAAAGTGTATAGAAATGAAGAAAAAATTTCTCAGAAACCTCATCGATCAGAAGCCAATCTCCCCGTTCCGATGCCTCCTTAACGATGCCCTTTTGCAGAGCAAACGGCGATGCGCCCTTCCGCAGGCCTTCTCGTATCCGTCGCGAACGCACGAGGGCCTCCGCCCACTAAATCAGTATTTCCCTCGATCTAAGAGGACGAACCTTGGGTAGTAAGTGCTTCGGCAGACGGTCCGCAGCTTTCTTGTCCAAAGCTTTTTGCGCAGTGACCTCCACAACCGTCAGATAATCCATATATCTTCCCGTGGTCAAGCACGTCTAAAGTGTAAAAATAATCAGTGGAAGACCAGCGATTCTCACCTGAACATGGCCCAAGAAAGCCGCATTTTTCTTTGCATCGAACGAATTTTTGAAGAGCTCGTCGTAAAAATGCGTAAATGGCTCGAGCAGCTGGGCAATTGTTGTAGGTTTGTACCTAAAAATGAAATTGGGGCCGAAAAAAGCAGTCGTTACCCTTCAATCAATTCATCTGGGTCGGATGTTGGGCTAAGATTGACCACTCGCAGGTTCTTTCCGACCGTATTCGCGATCGCTTGGACGACGGAGGTCTTGCCAACACCCGTTTCGCCCACCTAAAACGACAGCATAATTCCTAGACCCCCAAAATATACCAGTAGCATTGGTTCTTTCCATTGAACAGCCAATGCAATACGCTCCATCAGCTGCAGCACGTCTTTTGTGTGGCCCAGTTTGTGCTGGGACCCATCTGGAAAAGCAACCTTTTTCGGCGCAAGACTGAATTTTTTATAAATAGCGGATGCGTTTCTAAATTGTTTTCAGCGGTCCTAAGCTAAAAACTATACAAATTTCGATTCAAAAAATTTAAAGTTTAGGTAGAAAATATGATTTTTTCGACCCAAAATGACCAAATTTTCGAGGTTCTTTTTTTCTAAACATTTTTCTAACTTTTTTTTGAAAGGTTTTCTACTTTAAATATAGTTAAAACGTGACAAACAATGTAGGCACAATTTACATTTGATTACTAGCCAACCGGGACCGTCAGAAAAAATCTTGGTCTCCCTCTTCGTGAACCCAAAAGAACCGCAAAAACAAACCGCAAAGTTTGACGTTTTCTCCAGATGACTTCTACCAATGCGAACAACACGATCAAGCACTTCAAAAGTCGGCTGCCGGACTTTCAGGTGAGAAGTTGCCTACGACTATGAGAAGTTAATGACGCAAAATTACGTGTTCTGTTGAGATGCTCAATGAAGCCGCAATTCGTCCACATATTATCGAAGATCTAAATAGAAAGTTGTAGAAAAGAAAAGCCGACTGAACCTTGGTTCCGGGTCAGCCAATCCCCAGCAATCAACCAATTCGGCAAAAATGGCCATGTTGTCGGAGAGATCAAAAAGTTGGGCCACGCGGCCACACCCACGCAAGAAGTCTCTAAAACGAATCGGTTAACGGGGCGCATACAGTAGCGCTTGAAAGCGTATAAAATAAATGCTATTTTTCCGCAGAAATTTCTAAAAAAATCGAATTTGGAAATTTGGTGATTTTGAAGTAAAATAACTAACTAGCTAGGCTGACTAGCGTACAAATATTCTAAACTCAGCAAAAACTTAAAAATCAACTAAAATTAAAGAATAAAAAGTAAATAACGTTACGTAGTGTTCAGCTGGCGCGCGTTGCTTGTCATCGGCAGGCTTTCCACATCCCGAAATACCTTGAAAATTCCGATACTATAAAAATTTTTATACCCAACCTTGCATAGGCTGCTGGCAATACTGGAGATGCGCGGCAGACTGGTTTTGATGAGACGAATCAATTCAGCATCCGTGAACGGCGACAGAGCCACTCGATACGGCAAACCATCGATCGAAGAATTGCGTTTACCGCTGCCGCTGAAATCAAGCAAAAGTCCGTGAGCAAACTCCAAGGTCCTTACGAGAGCGTTGCCACTAGAGTTGCCCTAGCATTCAGCTCAACGCATCGGCCCGACGGCATCACATATGTTCGTTCTTCGCACAGGCCGATGAGCGCCGATACGACATCAGCATTCGCCAGATCCAGATCTTCCACCAGGATCACGCAGGGCATCGTCAGCCACTAAAACGAGTCTTAGATTCATCGAAAATCACAGCACCTCCGCGAGTGGCGATGGAGACCACTTGAACTGGCCGGCCACTTCGGTTCCATAATACGTGCCAAAAAGACTCTGAAAACTATGTTTGAACCATGAGGAGGGGTACGAACAGGGGCGTAGCCAGAAAAAAATTTCGGGGGCCCCAAAAAATTTTTCCAAAAAACTCAAAAGATGAACGAGAAAACAGCGCCGCAGGCAAAAATTTTTGAAAAAGAGGTTACATGGCTCTACAAATAGCCGTAAAAACGTGAAAAAATAGCGCCGCAGGCAGCAAAATTTTTGAGAAAATGAAAATCATAAGGGTCCCCCCTTATGAAATTTTCGGGCCCCGGCCGATTTCGGGGGGGGGGGGCCCCGGGCCCCCGGGGCCGGTATTACGCTACGTCCCTGGGTACGAACCTTCGAATCGAGTTGATCTCCCATTTGCAGCACATTCACGGGCAGTCCGAGCTCTCCGGCAACGAAATGCGCGAGGAAACTCTTGCCGCTCCCAACAGCTCCCTAAAGAAACGTTTTATCAACCTTTTGTTCGTAACAAATTTATATTTATCCACTGTCCGAGCAAAACCCTTGTTTTTCTTCCGCACAGCATACCTCAATAATCACAAACTCCTGAGCACGAAGACCAATGGCAAGTTGTTGGGCGGCTGCGTCACGCGTCGGCAGTAACACACCGCTCTTTGCTTCTGGAGCTCCTGGATTGCCGGCCGAATGGGCGGGCGCGATGGTACAGGCTTGCTGAAAGCTGATTTTCGGTAAATAAGCACCCCGTGCCTTTTCCGTTGTAGAGTCGCCATCTTTGTTGCTCAGCTTGCGTTTCCGGGCTTTGCGCCTTCCGATGTTCAACTTCGACATCTTTTCTGAAACGCGGGTTCCTTTCAATCCGTAAGAATCAGGGCCACGACATTTATATTCAGCAACTATTGCCAGAGGAAAAGGTAAACGCGATAAAATCGCGGTTTTAGCTGCTGCTTCTATCATTAAACTACTTTGAAAACACTAGAAAAGCATTAAAACCGTGATTTTAACGCGTTTATCTTTGTTTTTTCTGACACGAGTTGCTGGAATGACGTTTTGGCGAGTTGCGAAAATGTCATGGTCGCCAAGAATCTCATGCGTAACAAAAATTAGATAAAAGTATCGCCATGGACATTGACCGTGTCGAGGGCCCAATTAGCAATCTCAAGAAACAACATTTATTCGAAGCCAGTCTGAATACTGGCCAACAGCAGATTTCAGTCGACTGCAACAAAAACAACAGGTAACAATATTAACAAAATGAAGACAACGGTATAGTCAGATCGATCACTGAGGATATGTATAACCCATAGTATAACGCAAGGAGGAGCTTTGCGGATGATGAATGGCGGTCAAAAGTCAAGCAGCTAGCAGTCACGTCGGCTGATGCCGCTACGATGATTCTGTGAACACTCGCTGAAGACGTGCGCCATTTTCGCTGATATCTAAAAAACAAGATAAGTTCGCAAATCATTATTCGGTTCTTTCGTATTTCAGGGGGGTTTTCTAGAGATCCGAACTTTCCTGAGCTGTTTTTAGTGCTAAACGTCAAAACATAAAAGAAGACAGCTAGCTTCTTAGACCAAATATGCTCGATTTGATGGATATTTCAAATTTCTAAACTGTTAAACTGTTTTTTGAATTCTAAAGGTTTTCCCTTCACATTTAGAATTTCCAGAAAACATACGGCTGGTGAAAAGCAGAGCACGGGCTTTTTCGGAGGCAAGATACGGCTCGGCACGCAGAGATCCGCCTGAAGTTCACGAAATGAAAAGCACCATAAGCGAATTTACCTCACGAGAGCCCATAGGCTTGGACTGTTGCCCGGATGCATTGAGAGGCTGTAGGCACGATCTTCCCTCATTTTTCTCAACGGGCTTCGGTGGCAACGGGATTTCTGCTATCTGCTCTGGTCCAGCGGCCCGAAGAGCTCGATTGCGCGCAGCTCGGTCCATAAGTCGTATTGCAACTTCCTGATACACTCCGGCTTTTGTGGAATTTGCCACAATCGGATCTTTCTCTGGAGGCAGTTGAATGAATTCTGGCATCATGACAGCATCCTCCACGGTCTTGGGATTGAGAGAAGTTCTTGATAGATCCACATTAGAAATGGAGCATTCGGAGCCATCAGAAATGCTCATCGATTCCAGTCCAGATGGCGAGGCAGCAAGTGTCGGTAAGTTGGCGTTCGGCGAATACGGTGATGCCGGCACTTCAGAATAAAGCGCTTTTTCTTCGGCAGCCAGCTGGAGTTGACGATCGGGCGATTCGGGCGGGCTACCTAAACAACAGTAAGAAATGGGGCTACTTCGAAAAAGCGGTTATCGTGCCAAGAGGAAAATAGGGCTTTAGTGAGTTTACGGTTCCCTCCAAAAATCGAGATTTTTCGTGTCGGAATCGCTAAACCGATGTTCGAATCGACTTATCATCAAATTTAGGGAGGGAAAAATGTTTGTACCATTTTTGGGAGGGGACCGTAAAGATAAATTTTGCCAAAAATCTACTCTAGATTCTACTCTCCTTTACGATACCATCGTAACACACAAAACTTATTTGACGTGGCGCTACCCATAGAAAAATAAAAAAATTATGATTATCAACCTGGCGGGGTTCGAGGTCCGATCGGGGGTTGCTTCGCAGGCTCTGGGAACCCCCGGGAAAGTTCAGGTCGAACAGGCTCTTGACAGACTTGACCCATCGCGTTTTTCCAGTAAGCCTGGAAAAAATATGACTCTGTCTAAATTAACTAACCCAATACGTCTGTACTATCGTATCCGTATAGAACTTCCATTGTTCTTGTGTCATCGCTATCAGCTCACCGGAAGAAACGTCCTGCAAAGATTTTTGCCAGCAAGGATTCCAAGCATACCAGACGGCCATTTTCTTTACACTCGCCATCCTTCTCCATACAAGATCCAGGCTCCACCGGCACATCAAGAAATTGATCGCAACCGGCTACCTATCATCAAAATCAATCCAACGCTTTTTTTAAATCGTCCAACAAGTCAAAACAAAAACTTACAGGCTGTTGGGAAGTAGCGGATTTTCCCGGCGATCCAGGAGTAGCTGAGGAGCCATTTGGAGCGGGGAACTCGGTGGAAGCCGTCCGGGGTGTGATCTAAATGCCAGCGTCATGGTGCCCCAATTCTAAACTCACGGAACGATTTGGCGTTTGTTGTACATTCGAGGGCAGCAAAGCTCCATTCGTTGCCTCGTTCATCTCGATTCCGTCCTACAAATCCAAATGCAATAAAAGCCAATAATTCCAACCCTGTCAAGTAGGCGAAGCCAGACTACGACTCGTCGGCATGAGTCGAGCACAAACTCATTCTTGATGCTCTGCGACGTATATTGGCTCAAATCCACCGCGTACGCGTCTTCCCACTAAAAATACGATACACACATGAAACAAAATTTACCCATTGAGCCTTTGCAGCACAAATATTCTCGACGCTACTTGTCTTGTCATTATGCCGTTTCCCTGGCGGTGTGCCGTCGGCCGATGGATGGACAGCACCTGGTGCGACGCTTTTCTGAATCAAAATAGAGGAATAAGGCGGTATACGCACCAATCGTCTTGAAAGACAAGCTCGTTTGACTGCTGGTCCTTCGTCTAAAAAGAAAATTCAGCCAAATACGACAAAGACACCTGCGCCATCGAAAAATCCTCTGTCTCGTCCATTGCTTGGACGATCTGACATACTCAAACGGGAATTTGTTAGTTTCAACAACGCATCTTCTTTAGACTTTCAGGTGTAACGACCCTTTTCGATAAATGGTGAGAGATTTCAAAACAATTTAATTTAATTGAAACCGCTTATTCAATATGAATAAAGTATACAAGATATAATGGGAAAACAACGAAAGATGAGTAAATAACTGATATCACAACAGGAGAGATCATGGCCGTAGCGCAGGAAAGCCGTTCAATTTTTAACACCTAGACATTAACAGCAAAAATTGCGAGTGAGATAGCAGTACAGGGCTCACGTAAATGGAAACCACGAGATGTGTAGCATCGACCCGGTAGTGAAATAGAGAAGCATGTAAATACAGATCAAAGATGATGTGTCTCCACGTCTAATCAAATTACCGAAAAAGGGAAGGCAAGCCGGCTCGAACAGATCAGAAAGGACTACCTAAACAGGCATCAAAAAAAAAAATTCACGTACCATCGGTGTTTTTTCGCTAATCCATTTGGCAAGGATAAGGTAGGGGAATGGGCTGCATGAGAAGAAAATCCGTGTGAACACCTAAAATCAATTTCTCGTTTTCCGGATGAATCAATTACCTCGACGTTATAGAAGAAAATAGCACCAAAAGCCATTACTGACGAATGTACGCCATACGGAAATAGACCATCGGCGTCGATGAGGAAGGCATTGAAATTCCTGATGATATTTTAAAAAAATCTTTCCTAGAAACCTACGAGTAATCAAGAAGCCCAGTGGCGGTAAGCTTGAGTCCCAGAATCCATACAAACAGGGCTGGGCTAGCCATCAAGAAGAAAGGCAATTTCCTCCATTGCCAGTATTTCAAAAAACCTAAATAGGCGTGTAAATTAATTGGCCAACACTCACCGACGTCCCAATATTTGTCCTGAATCACGGAATACCATGGGGGAAATATCAACGAATTCTGGCTAAAACAGATAAATAATGACAGTATTTCTATGCACCTTACTTGCACCATTCGATTCCTGTTCGCCCCGCCACGACCAAATCATGCTCAGTTGCGTAGCTGTTCAGCCGCGCGGACAGAGGTGGCGCCGCCTGAGAGCAAAAGCGCTCGTGCTAAAAACGGGCGTTTACTACGAGACTTAATGGTTATATTTACCTGAATCTGCGCATGGTGCTTCATAGGTAAAATGATGATCGCGAGTGCAATGAGCAGCTTCAATAATGAAGAACATACCTAAAGAAAAATAACAGGGTTTGCCAAATCCAAACCTCGAAAAACATCCGCACTTTCGACAGCGTTAGTAAAGAGTGGAAACGCCCATCGTTCCCTCGTTTGTGCAATAAGTCGACGATCACATACCAGCAGACATAGCCAAAATTCAGCAGCCCGTTAGACCTGAAGAAGTTCTCCAAATTAAACTCAGCTACCCACCTCGTGGCAAAAGATAGTGCAAAAAGACCGCAAGCAAGTACATATTCGATACCGAACTTGCCCCGCGACTTCTGAAATTTTCTTTATGAAAAAAAAAAACGCTAGAATTCTCACCATCATCATCCAAATACCGCCAAAAGTCATCGCGCCATATATCGATTCGCTGTATGCGGCCGTGAAGAAAATACTGGCCGGGTTCAGCGAGAAGATCAAAACAGCTATGACGGATTGCTAAAATACCAAGTTTCTCCACCAAAAACTGCAAAACATACCTTGACACTATTCGTGATCCGGAGTGTTATGTGGTACAGTATCCAGCCGGCCATCAAGAACGCAAACTGAATGTAGAAAATAACGTGAGCAGTCAAGCGGTTCATGGGTAATACTACAGATGGTTTTACTAATAGGCTATTTTCTAGCAACTCGACTTAAAAGTAGGGACGACGATGCGAAATGCCATCCTACATTTTTGCAAAAAAAAACCCGGCCACTTCCAGCAAAATTCAATGCTAAAAATCCTTACCAAATTCAACAACAACGCTGACAGGAGATAGGCAGTTGATTTGTGTAGCAAGTGAAAACTCATCAAAGGCCAGGCCCAACATCTGGATAGCGCGCGGATCAAGATGGGAAATAACGGGAAAAAGGCAAGATTGCGATCCCAAGTATACCTGAAGGTTCAATATAAAACGGCCAGGCGAAGCAATACCCGTTCTCAGCAATATGCAAAAAAATGTAGAGCATCCCAGCGCTTGAAGCCGTCAAAAAACCACAGTAGAGTCTTGTCCAAGATGGTGAAATCTTCTGTGAAGGCCAATTATTGTTCCGATTATAAGCCATTGCACATGGGAGATCGGTGGTAGATGAGGAACTAGCAAGTTTTAATCAAAATCAATTCGACTAGATCAATTCGGGACCCCGTTTAAATACAAAATAAATAAAAGATAACAAATAAAAATTCAAGAAAAAAAGGTTAGTTAGCTTAACCGGAGTCTAATTCTGAAAATCAAACACCGCTCTGCGCAATTGGTCATCTACCATGGCCCCATCTATGTGCACTAGCAGGAAGGCACGATTAGCAATAGGCAATACCAGTCGTGCCTTTGTACGTACGTTTTACATAACAACCTGCCTTCCGGGTATGGAACCCCTTTGAAAGCGTCAGTCGGAAAGCAGAACCATTTGAAAAAGCATTGCATCCACAACAGATGCCCTCGCATCACTAGCAAGTTTCGGCCAAGTAACGGGAAAGCATCCTCTCGGGGGATATCAAAGAATCGAGGCGGATCGGAGCGCTTTTCCTAAGCAATAAATTTGGGCACGAAAATCTAATCTACCTTCGGCTCGATTCCTAGGCCCGCGGGTTGTTCGTCGTCTGCTCGCGCATCCTGACGTCTCCTTGCCATACCCGCCCTGGGAAGGACTACTAAATGAAATAAATTATGCCTGGAATCACCAAGACGTTACCTTTGACGCGAGAACTCTTTGCAGCCGTACCAAGGGAGCTGTTTTGCAATAAAAAATAATCTGCTCGATATTTCAATCTCAAGTATTTCGATACCAGTTGTGGCGATTACATTTATGCGCGAAGACAAGGCTGAATTTTTTTCAACATGAGAAAAATGATTGAACAATGCAAGACGAAAACAAGATTCGCTCGCAACACAAACAAAACGACAGATGATCACAACTCCAATCCAATAGGTGGAGGGGAAATCACAAATGAAGACTTAGTGGCTGCTGTCGTGTTGTTCACCAACAATCTGCTTCAGGATTTCCGTGACGTCGCTGAACTGCAGTTTCTCGTCAATGTTCCTGGACCGTATGGTGGCCTCGTGATTCGCGATCGAAATTACACCATCATGGATCTTCCAGTTAAATGTTGTTGCGTATTCTTTTAGCTGGGCTTCCGTCACGCCGCCAAGTAAACGGGCCAGGATGCTCTTCTCGATATTCTGGTACGTAACGGAAACGGCTTTGCAGACAAAGACACGTACAGCTTCATCAAATCCGGGGATTGCCTTGACGAGCTTCGCTACTTCGGCGGGCTGACGGAATGGTTCCGAAGGTTCAGTTGTTGGTCGATATTCTCCTTTCATCAGCTTCCAGAAGACACCAAAGTTGCAGGATTCGAGGACGGCGCCCAGATCCAATACGCGTTTTATCTCAGCACTGTTGATGCGGTTGGCGTCTAGCAATGATTTTGCCAAGGCAAAATCCGGGGCCGGCAGCTCCATCAAGGTCTTCAGGAGGATGGACTTCACCGACGTCTCTTCGTAACGATCCGGATTAAGCTGGTAGAGCTTCAGAAGCGTCAGCGATATGTCACGATCATAGCGATTCTCCGAGATCATGGCCTGAAAAAAAGATAGTTCCACGCGCGTTATGCTATTGTATGGGAGGAACGTTCCGAAAGAGCGTCCTATTTTCTGTTTTAGCATCGATGAAAAGTCCTCAAAAAGCGCGGAAATACGCGGTTTAGTTGCTCCTCCGGAGAGCACGTGCAAAAAAGACAGCTTTGTGCGCCATTTTTAGGAAAATATTTGAAATCAAGCCACGCGCAGCTATTGCAGTTAGGGGCGCGGGCATTCTTTAGGAGGATCAGACTTAGCCTAACCTTTACCGACGCTTAGGTTGATTCGTAGGCTTGGTTTTCACAGATCTTCGGCTGTCTACACCTAGCTTAGGCGGTTAAAAGCCCGAAAAAATGACTCCCCTCCCCTAACTCCCATAGCTCCGGCTACGTTTATAGAAGTACAAACCTTCACGCAACGCTCCAACTGGCCAACATTCTCTGGGTTGTAGCGGTTGACGCCTTGGATGTTTTCATGTAGATCGTCGCAGAGGTCTTCGAAGTTGCTCATACTCTAAAAGAACATTTAAAAGTGCGAGTGAAAGGCAATGATAGAGAAATATAACTTTTATAACGGAAAATTCGGAAACAAAGTATTATTTTTTGTAAGCCAGCTGCTCTAGATCTTTTTGCGAACTGTGGACCTAAGCTGTATACAGCAGTGTCAGGGCAGACAAAACAGCAAAGGGCTAACTCAAAAACTCTCCCGGGGGCCATACAGCCAGGGGTACTCGTTTCACTCGTAAAATAGATCACGTCTGACTAATTCGGCTATGTTGATGCCAATTCCGTCGAGAAATTTGAGACAAAATTAGCTAAAAACCCTGAAATTTCTTGAAAAATTTTCTGAAAACTTTTTGCCCTACCAGTAAAACGAGTGCACTGGTTGTATGGCACCCCGTAAAATTTCATGAAACCTCGACGGGAAAATCTTGTTACTTTTAATCAAATTTTTTACTTTTATAAAAGCGAAAATACATTTTATATAGTCAAATTTTGCCTGGCCTCGAAAGCCAAAAAATTACTGGATATTTTTCATTGTGGGGTGCGCACAGCATACTCCGTCTATAGTTTCGGCAGGACACTGACTCGTATGTGAAAACAGTCCCCAAGTTCAACGATTTGACTAAATTTTATATCTTTTTACACATTTATTCTTTCACTAATTACCAGCCCGGAACAAAATTAACCCTGAAAACTTGTTATTGGGCTGGTCGGTCATGGGTGCGGAAGTGCCTTATCCATCCAAATACAATGCTTTCTCCGAGAAAATGACAATTATTTAGATTTTCTTTCTTGATTCTGGATTTTTTTAACGTTTTTTCCGGTTCTTTCACATTTCCGGGGCGGGGGGAACCAATTTTTTCTTAGGATCTAAGTTTTCACATATAAATAGTGCAAGTGTTTCTGAATGCTTTTTTACTATTCTTAAACGTGCCGCTTTACAAATTTGTATGAAAACCATAGATTTTTCCGCCGGAAATTTAACCAAAAATTCGACTTTTTTTAAGTTTTATTACTAAAAACACTAGTAAAAAACTTCAGTTAATTTTCTAGGCATTTCTAGACTTATACAAAAAATTTTGGTCCCCCCGAAAATGCAAAAGAACCGTTTTCCAATCTATTCGATAACTTCAGGAAAGATGAACCCGATCACGAACATCAAGAACCAAAACCGCCTGAACGAAAGAGAGCTGAAATTGGGCGTTTCTGGAGATACGTCGAAATCATGGCACAAGACATACAAGGATTCTGCGTGGATCTATGTTGGTGGATTATCATACGATCTCTCGGAAGGCGATATGATCACCGTTTTCTCGCAATGGGGCGAGATAATTAACGTCAACATGGTGAGGGACAGGAAGACCGGCAAATCGAAAGGATTCTGCTTTCTTTGCTACGAGGACCAGAGAAGCACCGTGCTAGCCGTGGACAATATGAATGGCGTAAATCTGCTGAAAAGGATGATACGAGTGGATCACGTGGAGGAGTACAAGGTTCCGAAATATCGAGAAGACGCCGATGACGAAACCAAACGTTTATGGGAGGAAGGCTGCGCTCCAAAACCGATATATATTCCACCACCAGACGATGATGAGCTATTGAGGCGGGCTGAAGCGAAACGACGCGAGATCGAAAAAGTTATTCCCATTGCCCAGCTTCCCGAGGAGATAAAGAAAGCGCGGAAGGCCATGAAGAAACAGAAAAAGCGTGACAAGAAAATGAAGAAGAAGGAGAAGAAGCGCGCCAAGAAGGAAAAAGAACTGGCACAAATGGACCCGGAGGGCGATTGGAAATCGAAACAGGTGCTGATGGACAAGCTTGTTGCTGACAGCGAGGAATACGGCGTGAACGAACATTTCAACTTTGGCAAGAAAATTGAGGCGAAGGAAGAACGTGAATACAATGCGAGACCAGATTTCGAAAAGGCTGACTACCGGACAATTGAAATTTGGAAAATCATCCGCGAACAAGAGAAAGCCGATAAGATCAAACGTGGTGAATCTGTGGCAGCATTCGAGGAGGGACCTGCATACCTGCCTACGCGATTCCGAAGAGACCAATAATAAGCTATTTATTCTGGCATTGTTCGCGTCGACCTCTTCCCGGTTGTGTTACAATGTTCTTATCTTTTTTCATATAATCCGTGTTGTGTTCTCCATACTTTTCGTTTTAATTCACGACTGATTATACATAATAAAATTTAGGAATGGCGGCTTCGTCAAGGTCGTCCTCGACTCCTGGAGCTACCAACAAGACAAAACATGCATTGCCGGTGCAAACGCCAAATTTTGTGCTCGGCATGCTTATTCAGGTACTTGGCCAGCGTGATTCTAAAATATGTATTTAGGTTGCACGCCGTATCCTTTTCGTGAATGTTCGCCTGAAGGCTGCCGCGCACTTCCTCGGAGTGATCCTACTGTCGATTGTCTCTCACTATGTAATGACCACTGATGAGCACCTGTTGGAGATGGTTGGCATTACTTTGTATACCTATTGACTTTTTTTAGAAATTCAGCTACTTCAACCAGTACGGGGTGAAGCTAGGATGGTTCTGGACGTGCGCTGTTGTCGGGCCATATATTTGGTACAGTTCAAAGGCAAGGAATTGTTTGGCTGTTTGTCGAGAGTACTTTTTAGCTGCACCACAAAGACGGAGATCGTGTGTGGGTCGACATGCTGCGGCTGGGCATGGCAACGCTGATGTGGTACACACACCTCCATGTGTATGTGCATCACTTTTTCCGCCATATAATTCTCTTAGATTCCATTGGATTCGCGAGTCGACGTCACGATGCGACAAGTCGGTTAGATTCTCCAGGGATGAATGTTCTACCAATGGTGGTGAGATTTTGATGCTAGCTGTCGAGTTGTTCACGTGAATCAGCATGGCGAGATTTCGTTTTAGGCGACTAGGTCCTTTAGGATTTGCGGCGTCCCGGTTAGCATAGTAAACAAAGATAAAGTGTTTTTAAATTGTTTTTAGTAAGTTTGAACTATATTTAAAGCAGAGAAACTTTCAAAAAAGTTTGAAAAAGTCGAAAATTTGGTCATTTTAGGTAAAAACATCCATTTTTCGGCCTAAAATTAAAGTTTGTATAGCTTGCTGCTTATGAATAGCTAAAAACAATTTAAAAACGCATCCGCCATTGATAAAAAACTTAGGCTTGCCGCGAAAAAAGTTTGGGATCCCCCGGGGATAACGAATTAAATTTGGTTCACGGTGATGCGAGCGTGAAATGAACTCTTTCCTTTAATGTCAATTTCTTGCAGGCGTGTGGATACCAGGACACGACTTCTCCGGCCATTGTTTTCTGCTCATTTATTCGATCTTAATCGTTAGCGAGGAGGTACTGAATTCGCTGTTCCACCTACGTTTCTTTTTTTCAGGCTTCCTCGTACCGACAGTGGCAGCAATTGGACGCCGGTGTGGGACCGACCGCTAGGAAGCAGTTTGCATTTGACAGCCTGATCGCGCAGGTGTTCTTCGTGCTGATGTGCGTGTTGCATATTTGCTGGGTAAGCGTTCATAGCCAAGACTAACGTTCTCCTAGGACTTTCAACTCTTGCGATCCTGCATCTACTATCATACATTCTTGGACAAATTTGTCGGCGCGGCGGGCGGCGTCTTCGCATGGGCCTTCACGTACCGATTTTTGTATCCTAATGGCTTCCTTTGTATGCCCATACATCGAAGAAAAGCGGACTAGCCTTGTCCTTTTTCCATTTTTGTTGGCCACTGCTTTCAATTTTCACGGTTGCCCGTATCTTGCTCACTTTGAAAAGCGGGGTGTTTTGCTCTTCCTGTATTGATTGTGTATGACAAGTAGATAGAAAGAATGGGAACCGCGTAAAAAACTATATCCCGCGACGGTCGTTTCTTGCTTTTGATTTGTTCTGGCGCGCGTGCCTTCACTGGTTTGTCTCGAAAAACTTGCGTTGTGTGGGTGGCTTTTTAATAAAGTTGAGCATTTATTACATCGAAAACACATTTTAACGGGGGTTACAACCTGTTTGAATGAGGGGACGGGGTTATGGTTCGCGACTATCGAAGTGCAATAAATACAAGCGCCTGTGACTAATTGAAAATGTGGCGGTAGTACAGGGTTATAGTGCGTTATCTCGGGACCGTCGGGGGCAAATCGAATGGGGGGACGGGTAGAAAACAAACGGACCGTTCTAGTGGTGCCGTACATCTACAAGTCCTCGATTTCGATGTTGTATCGCAGCTGTTTGGCGCTGAACCAGGAGTAGTAATTGTCAAACTCGAGGATATCTGAAATAGGAGTCGTAAATTTCTCACTAGGGTAACCCGAACACACCCGGGCTCAGAATTTGCTGAAAATTTGCACACAGATAGAATCGACGACGCTGATCATCACCTCGCGCTCCAAATTTGCTACTGAGCTTTAAAACTAGAGATATTTATGTTTTAGTGTCAGTTTTCGCTCCCTTGGAGCGATGTACCATGCTGCCGTTTTTTTTGTATTCAGGTACTGTTTGTTTAAAGGCAAATTCGGAAAACGACGTCATGATCAGCGTGGTCGATTCTAGCTGTGTGCAAATTTCGCGCCAATTCAGATGATTCACTTACAGGTTCCGGCTTTTTCCGCGTTTAGGTGGCCGTGGATTGGGACTTGACTGCATTCCAGCCTAGAATTAATCATTTGTACAATACCAGCGACCAAAAATAATAAAGCGTTTGCGTCTGTTTTTTGACCTGATATAGGGGTAGACGATCTCCATCTCGGTCAGGTTGTCCTTGTCCATTTTCTGGTCATAGTGCACGCTGAAGCCGATATCGTCATCGCCCGTCATGTATTGCCAGCTGGAATATTGCCTTCTTCTCCTAGGAACAATCGAACCTGATTTTGCTTGGTTTCTTCACCTTAATCTGGATGAGGTGTTTGTCTCCGGCATACACCTATAAACGTTCAAAAAAATTGGCCCTTGGCTGTGAATATACTGTTGTCATTTCATCGTAGTCCGTCATAACATGCTCTGCGTCAACGAAGAACGTGTCTGGAATAGGGCCTAGCCCGTATCTAAAAAATAGTCTCGATTTGTCTAGCTTATCTTTAAAGGGGCTCGGAAGTCAAAATTCGCCTATGCGGGGATTGAACCTACTGGTCAAAAAAAAGGAAGGGTCGCCGCCGAAAAGTACCAGAACATTGATTTCGTGGCGAAAAACGCAAAATATTTAGAAAAAGAAATGTTTTACTTTTCGAGGGTGCGGCAATTACATGTCATAATGTCTTGTAAGGTATCCAATCTCTCGATCTCGGCGATTCTCTGGTCAATTTTCATCGTTAAAAGGTCTAGAATGGCCAAAATTCGCTGAGGATTCCAGAAATAGCGTCAGAATTTCCAAATCCAAGCGCTTTCGCGTCCAAACGGGGGCAAAAGAACATGCGGCGCGTCCGCAACTGGCTATTTGTCAGGAATCCACCTAGGGGCCGTGAACCCGGTTTTGGAGCCCCTTTAAAAGCGCAACTCTTACCTGATCAAAGAAGGGCATTTCCCATCCCCTTCCTCGGCCATCTTTCCGCCCCAATGAAGTGGCCACGCGTCGAGGTGTACGTATTTCTCAAGTTCTCGTCTCCAGTCGCCCTTGAAATTCCGAATCAATCACTCCAATCGAGCGGCGTACCTCAGAAAACATCTCGATCAGCTGTGTCACCGAATCTGATAGAAACGATCCCATCGAAGCGTAGGCGATTCGGGCCATCTCCGGTGCTCTACGAAGCGGGTATTTTGACCATGTAATTTTACTTCAAAACGCCCACAATTTAACTTAAAGTTAGTAGCAGAATCTGGAGCTATTGATGGTGGGGGCATCTTTTTTGCGAGGTCTTCCGGCCTAGGCTGCGCTCCACGCCTAAGTTAACCAAGCCAGGCCCAGCCTAACCTAAGCCAAGCCTAGTCTCCGCTAATTCTAGGCTAAGCCTAAGCTAGGCCTCGACTAAGCCAAAGTCAAGTCAAGACCAAACCTAACCCCAGCCGAAACCATGTTTAAGCCTAAGCGAACGCTAAGTCTAAGCCAAGCCTACGCAAAGTTAAAGCTAAGCCTAGCTGATATATAGCTCTCAATAGTTTAGCATTATGGGGCAGTATGAGAATACCTACCGGATGATCAGAATCTTGGATAAGACTAGCGGGTAATGCTCCTGAAAAAGCATGCATAGCGTCGTAAAAGCGGATGCGAATTGGCGACTTCCGAAGTGGGCCGTTGACACGTGATCCAAGTCAAACACCAACATCATCTGCTCCCATTCATGGCCAGTCTGCAATTTTCTGATTCGCTGGGCCCTTCCGTGTTTTATACGGGGGAAAGGGGCCCCCGATGAATGAATGTCCCACCTGGACCGCTCGCAGCTCGCAAAGTTTCATCCCTTTCTCAATAGCTGCTAACGAAAATTTGATGTAGTCCAGTGAAGCGACCGACTTCAGCATACCTGAACAAATCTGGGATGGGGCGAGCATTTTTTCAAACAAGCATAGTTTCTAACAATCACCTTCCACATCGCAGTTTCCAAGCAGCGACATCAATATCGGATTGCCGTCTTTATCGGGCAGGAAACCATAGCCACAGTATTTTTCGAGGCACTAAAAGCACAATTTTTGCGTAAGGAATTTCTGCGAAATGGTTTTCTGCCGGGTTTTGTTCATTTTTCATGAAAAGTTTGTTCCTCCTAAAAGTTTTTTTTTCATTTCATATCATTCTTCGTGTTTTTATTGATACTTTTTCACTTCCAAGATAGCTAAATCTAGAGTAAACGCATTTCTAAAAATTTGCTATGACATTAGTAAAACAGTAATTCGTTTTCTGCGTATTGAAATCTCGGCATAATATCCACTCTTACGGACCACCCTGCAGACTTTTCCCCCACGATACTTGGCTGCCATTTTGCCTCCATCACAGACACATTAGGTATGTTCCTCGGAGGTGCGGAGATTAGGATCTCTCGCGCGCAAAAGGGGCCACGTGATTCAAGATATGAATCAGGGTCATCGTGGTTGCGAAATGCCTAAAAGCGCCGTTTCTGAGCCACCCGATCAGGGCTTGGCACCGTTGTTGTTTTGGCGCCATCTGAAAGAGCATGGTCGAATTAGTGGGGTGGCACTATTTTGAGAATTTTAAACGTTCAATTTCGGCGTTAAATAGGCCAGGAAAGTTGCTGATTTCAAGAAAATTATCGAGGAAGTGATTGGACGAAATTCGCTGAAAATTGGTGTCTACGCTTAATTTTGGACGCTGACCATTCCTCTAATACATCTCGAAACACGAAAATGACCGGAAAATGGTTAAATCACGTGCTGGAAATCGTTCTCCCGGAATCCCAAAAAACGGCCTTTCTTCTTTCTTTTGCGAAATTCGACATTTTGTATTTTTGGGTTTTGGGCAGCATTTTTGACGGGTTTTCGGCTTATAAAACGCGTTTTGGCAAGAAGAGGGTAGCTGGTTGCCGGGTAAACGACACAGGTATTGACGTAAAAAAATATGGCGCAATTTCTACGCTATTTTCATCGAGCGCAGCAAAGCGCCATTTTTTATGGATTCCGGGAGACCCTTTTCGAGCACCTAATTCAGTCATGCTCTTTCACATGGCGTCGAAAAATGGGGACTTTTCGCATGACCCGCGGACGGCCTTAGAAGCACTTCATTACACCCCTTCCGGCAACTTCAGGATTCTCCAAGCCATCTTCATGGGCGGCAGAAAGAGGAGGTGGCTGTTTTCTTCAGCATGTGCCTGTTTGACCTGACTCGACACAGCGCGCCCCGCACATTCTCCCCCTCCTCAGCCGTTGTGTCGCTGTCCTTGAGATGAAAAACGGAGACACGCCGGTGGAGCAGGAGAGGGGCAGGGGGCATTGATCTGCGAGCTCTCGTCCTCCATCTAGCCCTGTCCACTCACAGAATCGGGGGGTGTGGAAAGTACTGACAATCTACGGTGTGACCAACGGATTCTGGAAAACGATGGGTCAGTTACAAAGGCTGCCCAAAAAAAACCCCCCGGCATTTGGCCGTCTTCTATCGGATCGCGATCAAATTTTTACCAGCGATGGGGACCCAAAAAAACTATGTGCACCCGAATTTTCTAAGCATAATATTGAAAAACAAAAAAGTTATATCGAACTCAAACCTTATTTTGCCGATTTCACTAGGATTTGACGGATTTGGACCTCGAAATGCTTAGCAAAAATAAAGAGCGCGCCTTTCCACCCGAAGAAATTTTTTGATTGACGAAATTTTCCTCTAAATAGGGCTTTTCACCACTTTTTGTTATCACAATTGGCTGAAACCGACCCGCAATGACCATTTTTCGGATAATTACTCAAAATGTTTGAGCCTTGGCCCACCTCTGGCGCTTCCCATTCTTCGATGCAGTCGAGCTCCCAGGCTTTACGGAAAATGACGTGTTTCTTCAAGGAGTCGGCCGTCTCGTCGAAGCTAAATCGTCGAATTTCCATTGTCGAGAAACAGGCCCACCGTCCATTCTTCGATCGCAACCACCGCAACACGTAGCTATCGCTGAGAGGCTTGATCTCAGGAAGGATCGTGCTGAAATCAGACGAGATAACTCGGTGGCGGATGGCCTTAAGGGGGAGAATTAGGTGAAAATTTGCACATAGATAGAATCGACGACGCTGATCATCACCTCGTTCTCCAAATTTGCTACTGAGCTTTAAAACTCGAGATATTTATGTTTTAGCGTCGATTTTTGCCCCCGAGAAGTGCTTTTACATGGTGCCGTTCTTTTTTGTTTTGAGGTTCTAATTTATTTCAAACCAGCGCCCAAAACCCGCTTCGCGGGCCTTGGGCGCTGGAATGCGGCCTTTGCATGAAAAGTTTGACTTTCTGATAGCTCGGGTCCTGCGGACTCCACCCCCAACCACACGCCCGAGTGCAACTGGCAAGAATGAGGAAATTTCTATTTTTGTTCACATTATGCAAATTACCCCCAAAAATGAATAAAACCGGCTTTACCTTTGTAAACTTGGATTTTATCGTAATTCTGAGAACGTCATCGGAAACAGAAGGGTCGATTCCCCCGGGTGACGAAGAATTGGGGCATTTTATGCACGGGAATGCCCTCAAATCGGGCCTCGAAAGTGACATCCACACACACACACAGAGATACACTCCAAAATTATATTTTCAAATATTTTTCGCCACTTCCCATACAAAAATTCAGTCCAGAATTTTCGAAAATTCTGAGTTAAATGGCACATTCGAAAGAGAAAATTATTTGAATACGTTGGCTATATTTAATTTTGCAAAATCGGCCGGGAAGGTCAAAATAATTGAAGTCAAAGTTTGCCGATTTTAACCAAAGGATCTGTTTAAAAGTGGCATATCTCGAGTTTTAGAGATCAGTAGCAAATTTGGAGAACGAGAACGAGATCAGCGGGGTCGATTCTATCTGTGTGCCGATTTTCAGCCGATTCTGAGTCCGGGTAAGAGCAAAATTGATTGGCACGAAGCACTTGCTGTTGGTGGTCTGCCGAAGCTCAGTTTTTTTATGTGAAGAAGCACGCTGCTGGATACCTGCGATACGCGAAAACTAAACCGACTGACCGCAAATCACGAATAGCCGTCTTCTCTTCAGAATCGGGTGGCAGTCTGTTCATCGTCTTGGAGGGGTTTTGCTGGAAAAATGGGAAGATGCTTTTAAGAAATGGGGTGGTGGGACGGTTCGAGGACAAGCGAAAGTGAAAGCGCGTTTGCGAAACACAGCACGTAGATGGCCTAAAAATAACGGCATGTTGAAAGTGTCAACACATGTCCATTCGGCTCTTAACGAAGCCAGAAGCCTATATTTCTTAGCCTTCTCGAGCCCGTGCAGCGATAGTCAGGTTTCTAGATGTCCGAATCGATTGCTACCACAAAAACTCTGGTTAAAAATCCCTGAAATCTGCATGAAAAATTCACAAAAAATTATTCTGGAAAGTTACAGGCATCCCAGCCAAGTTGCTGATAAGGGTAATCAAAAAAAAGTCATTATCCTACCACAGAGTATCCCAAAAAAACGTCGCTCGGCATTACCAGCGGTGGGGACCCATAAAACTATGTGCAGCCGAATTTTCAAAGCAAATAATACTAAAACAAAAAAAATTATAGCCAAAAAAACGGATTTTTGGGAAACGCTGGTACTCATTTTTTCGCCATGTTTTCGCAATTATCATGACGATTTTGTGTACTTTACCGAAAAATGGCCATTTTCGGGTCGATTTCCGTTAATTTTGATTAAAAAGGTGATCAAAAGTTTAAGTGTAAACGTCATTTTCGTAAATCGAAAATTCCTCCGGGTGGAAAAAAGTGCCCGCTCATTTTTGTTAAACACTTTGAGGTCTAAATCCGTAGAATTCCTCGTGAAATCTGGAAAATAAGCCTTAATTTCGACACAACTTTTTTGTTTTACAATATTTTGCTTCGAAAATTCGGCTGCACATAGTTTTTATGGGTTCCAAACCAATAGAAGACGGCTAAGTGCCCAGGGCGGTTTTTTGAGCCAACTTTGTAGAGGGTTTCCCGATGTATGAAATTATGCGTGGCGGCCCAGCTTGACCAGTTATTGACACGGCTAACCCAGGAAAGGAGCAACGAATGGTCATTGTGAAGCAGCGAGACTGAATCGAGGCTGTACTGGGGGTGGGAGGGTAGTGTCTGTCCGTCTGTCCGTCTGTCTGTCTGTCCGTCTACACCTTGTTCTTCGTCTCTTATTTCCTCTGCATCGGGCTGAATCTATCTTTTATATGGGCGGTTTCCGCAGTGACATAGTTCCACCCTCCACCCATCCATATCCGCCTCCAATGCCCCGGGTTGTCAACAATAGCATTGCGAAAGTTCATGCTCCTCTGTTTTCTTAGCAGCCAATTTCTCATCGGAATAATATGGTCGATGGGTAAAGAACGGGCTTCAGGCCCTAAATTTTGAAGAATCAACAGTGGTGATAGGTCAAATTGCCCCCGCCCCGCCAGCCAAAGCTTCCCAAATATTTTTCGCTCAAACTTTTTTATGTTGCTTTATTTGGAGCTGGAATGAAAACGATTAGTATATTTTTTAATGCTCTATCGTATAGCGGAGCGAAAATCCCGACAAATTAGCAGAAACCTCGAAAAATTTTGGGACCCCCGGCCTGGGGATGGGGTAAAGTAACGTCTAGCCTGGTGGGGTTTCTTTAAAAATGTCGAATTCAGAGTGTCGAAATGCCATAATGTCGAAATTCAAAATGCCGAAATTTTGCATAAGCTAGTTTTGTCGGAAAAACCCCAAACCCGGTGCAAAAAATATTCGACATTATTACATTTTGACCGTATGAATTTCGGGGGGTTTAATTAATCAACCACCGGAAGGTACGTATTTTAGAAACCTTCAGACGGCCCCGTAGTCAGTTATATGCGGCCAATCCCTCCATAGGCGATCACCGAGAAACAAACCTGACCCTTTCAGGAAGAAAAATTGGCATTCGGTGACCATCGCCGGCCATTCGCGGCTTCACGCGTCTCACTTCCGTCTCATCTCTACGTCTATTTTTCTGTGAAGCTGCTTGTTCGTGGCGAAGAAGCGGTGATTGCCTGGAAAAGATTGGCAGAGAAGTAGACAGGTCCGGTCACGAACCGCTATTCAGCCGGCGGGCGTTGTTGAGTCGATGTAGATTGCGGTGCCCGATTCCTGAAAATAAAGTTACCAATATTCGATAAAAAACAAAGCCGTTTGCGGATGCGGTGTGCAAGGCAGCGGCCAGGTCCCTCAGCGCATCGATCGACTTGAATCATCCGCGCGTCATCTGCCATTCCATCGTCCGTCTTTTCTGGAGTCGAGCGTATCCTAAAACAAATGGAGTAAAATCACACAATACGCAACTCTTCTCCCCAAAGCCAAATTTTCTCTAATAAAAAGTTCATGGCCTGGAAAGGGCGCCTAGAAAAGAGGTTCATTGGAGCTGATGGCATTAGCAAAACTAAAAAACGAATGTAGGCGGTGGCAGACAACTATAAAGGACCCAGGGCTGGTACCAAAGTAGATTTATGACCGCAAAATTTATGGGGGGTCATAAAAATATTTATGACCCCTATAATTGAGTTTTTACCCCCCTATAACTGAGGTTTCCACTCTAAAAAATGCAGATATACCCCCTGTAGATCAATCTACACCCCCAATAAATGAGGTTTTCACTGGAAAAATGCATTTATACCTCCTATAGATCTTTTTATACCCCCAATAAATGAGTCGTGGTGCGTCAGGGAAAATACACCCTTTTTTCTTGCGGGCGAGATTGAGCCAGAAACGCCAAATCCATATATCTTTATTATCATATCAAATATCATAAGTTTGGCACCCAAGCTCACTTATAAAAAATTGCGGCGTGCCCTTAGTGCAAAGAGTGGCCGGCGGGTGTATCGTGTCGACGGCTTAGGCTTAGGCTTAGGCTTAGGC